TAGAAGGCAAACATAAAAATAACAGAGAACAGCTTATTACAGAAGTACAAATCAAATGCTCCGGCAAAGCAAAGAAAGCAGCTGGACACTTAGCCTGTCTAGAAAAGCAGTGGAGACAAAGACTAAGAAGTCACCAGCAGACAGATGACAGAAGAATCCAGAGAAAAGCTAAAAGGACCAAGGGCTTAATCTTAGAGTTTACCAACATGAAAGGGCGAGCAAAGAATAAAGGATCCCACAAGACAATTCCCGAATTTTAACATAATCATAGAAAAGTTATCAATAGAATAAAGGGAAAAGAGCTGTAACCAACTAAACGCAGTCATCAGAAAGGGTTTCTAATGCCTCCATTATTAATTTAGCAACAGCACAAGTAGGTAATTCCACTAAATCCTTGGATTAGCTCTTCTGGTATTAATTTTGACAACAATTATAGGAAAACAACATCACTAAATTTCAGAGGGATTTTAAGGGGAAAGAATACTAAGCCATAATATAATACAATCAAACATCATATAAAGAATACCAAGACAACAGACATTTTGTTTAAAAAGTTAATATAAAGGTCATATATATTCACACACATATCCCATACATGATTGTGGTAGAAATTACAAAAATATTTCAGATTTTGAAAAATCACATGTATAGAATTATATCACCAAAAAATGTTCAAACAAAAACCTGCAAATAAATATATGTAACCACTATTTTTGACTCATGGGATATTATCAGAAGCCAACATCATCTCCCACTACCTTTTTAAATATTCAGGTATTTTTTCTTGAACCCAGGTAGAAAAACCTTACTCTCAAGTAGTCAGTCCATAGAGTTCCTTTAACTCACAAAGCACTGAACAGCCAGCCCCCTCTAACTATAAAAACGCCAAGTCACAGTCACCCAGCTAGGCCAGGCTCCAAGCTGACCACTTGCAGCAGGGGTCGAAAGCAGGCATGGTCCCTTTCTTCTTCCCTGCATAATTTCATCCCTCCTCCCTCAGCAGGCTAATTATAGTTTGATCCTGCCAGGGTCAAAACTGTAGGGGGTGGTTGAGTATTTATCTGGCTCATACTACTGTAAGATGGTTTTGAGCAGTTGGAATCTGGCAATTATCTTATAGGTGACTGTACTCACAGCTGTTGTCACAAGCAACTCCCTTGACCTGAATGAATGCAATCCATTTCACTGGCTTTTTTTTGCTTGAGGAAAATTAGCCCTGAGCTAAAATCTGTGCCAATCTTCCTCCACTTTATAGGTGGGTCTCCGCCACAGTATGGCTGACGAGTGGTACAGGTCCACGCCTGGAATCCAAACCCACAAAGCTGAGTATGCCAAACTTAACCACTATGCCATGGGGCTGGCCCCACGTTGGCCTTTCTTTCTTCACTTTTTTTTTTTTTTTTTAAGATTTTATTTTTTCCTTTTTCTCTCCAATGCCCCCCGGTACATAGTTGTGTATTCTTCGTTGTGGGTTCTTCTAGTTGTGGCATGTGGGACGCTGCCTCAGCATGGTCTGATGAGCAGTGCCATGTCCGCGCCCAGGATTCGAACCAACGAAACACTGGGCCGCCTGCAGCGGAGCGCGCTAACTTAACCACTCGGCCACGGGGCCAGCCCCCTTTCTTCTTCACTTTTAAGGAATCCAGAGATCCATTTTGGATTATTCTCTTCTGAGGTCTCTTCATACCTCCAAGTGGCCCTTTTGCCACTGTATCTAAAATGGATCTCCCAGAATGGCTCACTCTCTTTCATGCTTGATGGACACCTTCATAAGCATTCAAGCAGTTTTTGTCAAAACAAATGCTGAGAGTGAAGAGCAGGCTCAACAGTATTAATCAATATTAGCAATTAGTATCAATATTAGCAATTCTTCTCCCTTCATCAGCCAAAGGTTCCAGGTTCCTCTCAGGTTCCAGGTTTCCTGGATATGAGTCAAATATCTGCTTCCAGAACTGTAGGAGATTCATATCAAGCTTTCCAAACTCGGTTTTATGAGAAATAAGCACCCTCTTACCTCCCTTTTTTGGCAGCTTTGTAATTTTTTTTTTCCTAAAATACACTCTCAAATTCACATAAATTCCTAATAAATTAGTTACCTATTAAAATACTATATGATGTAAGACTGAAAACAACATAGCATTTCTAGAATAAAAAGAATGTCTAAAAATAAAATGTATCAATTACCAAAAGCAATCAATTTAATAGATATAGCTTACATGTGAACTCTGGCAGACTAGTGGCTTTGAAAAGTTTACAAGTCCTCTCTAAGTCCACTCTTATTAAACTGCTTTGGTTGGAGTGTGATTCAAAATAAGTCAGAGAGGTTTACTTTCAGCATGATGATGTGAGGAAGTTGACAAATCCTCTCCACTTTAAAAAGAGCAACTATTAAGTTGGATAAAATTCTTTAAAAACTCTGGAAATCAAGTGAAGAGCTACAATAAACTAAGAAGTGTTTATCCCTGAAAACCATTGAAGTCCAGGTAAGAACAGGTACGAGTGTGTGGTGGTGTGCTCTCACATCCCATGCCAGAGGCTGCTGCCACTGCCAGAAGGGACTCGCTTGACTTGATGCGGAAGGTAAAGCGGGGTCTCAGTGGTAACCAAAGTTCTCCAGCCTGAGGCTGCAGTCCTGTTTGGGAGTAGCTGGGTTTGCTAAGTGCTCCACATGCGCAAGATTTACCAGAGGCACGCAGAGCAGAAACGCAAGCTGGTTCAAGCTGCACATCATGGGCGCCAAAGTCTGAAGATGTGCACTAGGGAGAAGCAGAGCAGCCCACTAGAAAGCAAAAAGCAGGACAGACTTGCAAAGGACGTGAACACTGAACGTACTCGCCAGCCCACACACAGACCCATCAGCGGAACGGAGGGCCTGGCTGACGGGGATTGAACACAACCTCTGTTCAATCTTCGGATAATGCTAAGCTATGCAGACACAGTAGTAACCCTACAGAAGCAAGATTTAACATTTTAAAAAATAAGCAGAGACATCAGTGGCTGCATACTGTAGTAGACACAGACTTCACAAATTTACTGAAGGTAAGTTACTAAACAAAACAGGAACAACCCTCTGGGGAGACAATCAGAATCCCTAATTGCTACATTATCTGAAATTCAACAAGACAGCAAAGAAACAAGTGTGACCCTAAGGAAGAAAAGCATTAAATAGAAACTGAGTGTCTCCAAATGTTGGATTTAGCAAAGACCTAAAAGCAGCTATTATGAAAATATTCAAAGAACTAATGGAAGTCATGTTTAAAGAACTAATGAAAACAATGCAATGCATGAAGAATCTCAATAGAGAGAGACAATATATGAAAGAACACACAGAAACCTGGAGCTGAAGAGCAGAAAATTTGAAATGAAAAATTTGGTTGATTTGAGATGGCAAAAGAATCAGTAAATTTGAAGCATCAACAGAAATTATTCAATCTGAAGAGGAGAGGGAGAAAAAACAATGAAGAAAATGAACAAAGCCTCAGACATCAGATCAACATCAAATCTATTAACCCAAGCACAACAAGAATCCCAGAAGAGGAAGAGAGAAAGGACAGATAAAGATATTTGAAAAGATAATTGCCAAAGCTTCTCAAATTTGACAAAAATCATTAATCCACAGATCCAAGAAGTTCAATCAATCCCAAGCAGGAAAATCACGTGGAGATCCACACATAAACACATTACTGTCAAACTGTTTAAAAGACAAGGCGAAGAAAAAAATCTTGAAAGCAGCAAAGAAAAAAAAACCTATCACAAAAGGAGACCAAAATTATGAATAGCTGACTTCTCATGAAAAATAATGGCAGTCAGGGGTCTGTGGGATACCATATTCAAAGTGATTAAAGAAGAAACTGTCAACCATGCACTCTATATCCAGCAAAACATTCTTAAAAACAAGGCAAATTAAAGACATTCCCAGATAAAGACTGAGGACATGATTATATAAAGCAGTAGTAACGTCCCTGTATTGTTAATTTGTAACATATGATGACAAGAGCACAAAGAAGAGAAGAAACGGAGATACACAGGAATAAAGTTCCTAAATTTTACCAGAATTAAATTTGTATTATTTTGAAGTTCTGTGAAAAGTTATGATGCGTACTTTCATCCCTAGAGTGACCACTCATGTAATGCAAAAAAGGAGGAACAGAGGGATCACTTTAGATATGAGAAAAACAGAAAACAGAGCAAAATAGCAGATCTAAAAACAACTATATGTATATTAAATATGAATGAACTAAACACCCCGCTCAAATAACAGAGATTATCAGACTGGATAAAAAAAGGAAGATCCATTTAATAAAAAGACTTGTATTCAGAATACATGATCTCTTATAACACATAAGACAATGACCCAAAAAAGGGGGGATGGGGTAAAAGATTTGAATATACATTTCTCCAAAGATATACAAATGGCCAATAACTGCACAAGAAAGGATGTTCAATATCACCAGTCCTAGAGAAAAGTAAATTAAATTCACACTGAGACACCACTTCACTACCCATTAAAATAGCCTTATCAAAAAGACAGACTATAAGAAGTACTGTACAAGTGGAGAAACTAGAATGATACTTTGGTGGTTGGAACATAAAACTGTATAGTTATTTTGAAAACAGTTCATCAGGTTCTTAAAAAGTTAGACAAAACTTATCACATGACTCAGCAATTTCAATTCTAGAAGTAACCAAGAGAAATGAAAACATGCAGCCAACAAAGACCTGTATACACACACATACGCATACATATACACAGAAAGAGGGAGAGGGATGGAGGGAGCAGAAGAGAAAGGAAGGGCCACAATTTAAAAGAATGGGGCAAATGAAAATAATTCGTGGATCTGGATCAAAGGTATAGGGGAGTGCCTTGTATTATTCTGGTAACGCTTCTCTAAGTTTCAAAGTACATAAGAAATTTAAACTACCAGAAAAGGGGGCAAGAATATTGCATAGCAAGCTCCCTCTAGCAACTTCTTCAATGAAGACCGTATCAGGCATAAAAGTTATTAGAAAACTGTAGGTAATTTTAATAAAATCACTTCAAGAATAAATTTGGTTGTAAAGCCAATACAATGTGCTCTAAAATAATTATTTTACTGAGTTAAATAAATTCATCTGTAAATCCTGCAACAACACATTCATATTCACAAAATCTGAACGAAAAGCACACACAACTTTCCATTTCTAACACAGGGTAATTTAAAAGTTCACTATGAAGTGGACTGACTTTTTGGTTTTATTTTGCTTTCAATACCAAGCATAATTATATAATTCAGAATTTGAAGTGTGTCACTCATTTATTTAACATAATACTACTACTATAAAATAAATGTCATTAGTCAGAGTGATAGTGATGTTTAAAAGAAATACTGTGAAAATACAAGCTGCATTTTTAAAAGGTTATAATCATTTAAATTCTGATTGTATCTGTACGTTTACAATTTTCTACTCTTAGATTTTTAAAAACCATTTTATATATGTTCGATGTGGAGCATGAGTAACTGCATTTTAATGAAGTTTCCACTGATGTATGTAGAAATACGGTTTACCAACAGCCAAATAGCATGACTTTGTTATCAAAGATGAATGGTACGATCTGGAAATAAGGACAATCCTTCAACAATTTTACTTTGCTAACTAAAAATACTTCCCAGGAGCTAAAGGCACAATTTTTATTCACATCCAGTACAATAACCAAGCACAAAGTCATTACTTATTTTCAACTTAATAACTGATTGACATTTCTCAAACAAGTTGTTCTCAATCCTCATAGCTCTTTATTTTCTTTATTTGCTCTTTGCAGTACGTGTCCATCATGAGAATAACCAAAATCAGATAAGTGTGACAAAAGACTGACAAAGTATTTCACACCCTTGAGTGACGTCAAGTCAAGAATGGAGGGAAAGCATTGCAAAAGGAGATTCCTGCAATGCTACTTATCTTCTTGCAATAAACCCAGCAATGCCTCCATTTCAAGAGAGCTATCATCTCACTTCCAATTTCTTCCCCTCAAGAACAATCTGAATCTCCTTGGCATCCAAAGTCTCATAGGTCAACAAAGCTTCTGCTAGATTCTTATGCTCTTTTGCATGAGTCTTCAAGATATGTTTCGCTCGTTCATATGAGTCCTGAAATAGTAGATATGTAAGAGGCAGAAAATTTAGGAGAAGAAAAAACCATAAATGAGAAAAGAACTTTTACATATCCTAAAAAATGTGAAATCTACTGATTCCTATTTACAAAAGATAAAAACATTTAAAAGCTTGGTTCCCAAAGAAAATATTTTCATACTTTCAGATGCTCTGTTTTTTTTTTTTTGAGGAAGACTAGCCCTGAGCTAACATCCGCCACCAATCCTCCTCTTTTTGTTGAGGAAGACTGGCCCTGAGCTAATATCCATCTTCCTCTACTTTATATGTGCCCATCTTCCTCTACTTTATATGTGGGACACCTGCCACAGTGTGGCTTGAAGAATGGTGTGTAGGTCTGCACTCAGGATCCGAACCAGCGAACCCCAGGCCACTGAAGCGGAACGTGTGAACTTAACCACTGTGCCACCAGGCAGGCCCCCCAAATGCTCTATTTTTAACCTCACAATCTGTCAGCTAGATAACTGAAGACTATTTAGACAAAAAGGTACTCACAAAAATAGAAATATACACTGCTTTTTAAATAAGGTCTGTGATCACAGAAATCTATTTTTCTATTCAACATACATGTTAAAAAGGAAAGAAAGTTGGCTACTTTTGCCTCTCGGGATTTTACCTATTTACTGAATCTAAAATGGCCAGAAAGGATATATTTTTACACTCTTTTACTTCCCAACACTCACTTGTCAATTTGTGACAAGTATAACACAGTATTATTAGATGATCCTTCATTTTCATACATTTGATTTTTTTTTTTTAATTCTTCAATTGTCTTTCCAAAGGTGAGTTTGGATTATCAGCTCATGAATAATGGCACTGATAACAGTTCACTTTCGGCACTGTCACAACATTTGCCTGTACAATGTCTATGCCAACATTTTAATATTTAATCACATTTTTGCCCTTATAAAACTGAGTGGAAAATGTAAAAATTAATTGATCAACACCAAGAATCATAGGTCATATAAACACAACATAATCATTAGACATTCTAAACATAATCTTTATGTTCTAGTGAAATAAATTAAAGAAAATATATAAAACATTAGAAATATATTACGGAAATCTGTAGCTAAAAATCAAGGATAAATTAGTAATAAATTTTAAAACTCTCCTGGAATGAAGCCCTAACTTTCTAACACGTAAGACTACTTGGTTGTTATGCTACTAGTAATCATTTCCCCTTAATAACAATGTAAGTTTGCCATCTAGTGGAAAGAGTACCTACTGTCTTTCCAAAATCTATCTTGTTTCAGAAGGAAAGAATTCAAGTTTTGCTCTTCTGTTTTCTGAGTTTTCAGAAATTTTGCATGAGGCAGAAATCTACCAACTTTATATTAGCTGCTCCCTCAGCCAAAACATCACAAAAGCATGTTGATTTCATTACATCAGTACTTCTTGAACCAACCCGCGTTTTTCAATTTCTACTTTCACCACCTTAATCCAAGTGTCCATTATACCACAACTAGATTACCACAGTACTAACTGACCTCACTGATTTTACTCTTACACGTTCCTTTACCCTCATCTCTCCTGGACACTGAAGTCAAAAAGACCTGTGTTTGGCTTATTCTGCATTCTCAGCACTTGGACACCGCTAGGCACAAAGCAATACTATTTTTTGAATAAATATGTCAGAGTGGGAAAGCAATAGAGAGTCAATAATCAATATCCCCCATTCTAATACTTACTACGGTTCTACAGCTAAAGTAGAATGGAATATTTATAATCACAGATATAAACTGTTCTTAGACTACAGCCAGAATAAAATAAAGATCCAGTCTATGACCAGAGGTTCCCTAACAACATATTTAAATCATGGCTGCAGTGGTGCGCCTGTTATCTTTATTACATATAGCGACATTTGGACCTTTCAGTTATTTTCTAAGTACCTAACAGTTTAAGAATATTATGACTAACGAGATAAATAAGCATAGAAAAATATGTTCATTACCCTTAGAAGGATTCTGATTTCTTGTTCAATAGCAGATTGAGTTTCTGGACTCAGTTTCCCTGTATCACTGTAGGTCATAACTCCAAGCTAAAACCAATGGGAAGAAAGAAATTGAACAGAAAAACCCCAACTAATAAATGTAACAGAGGAAGTACTATCCCATACACAAGGAAATAAATATTATGGGAGGCAAAGAAGCAATCATGTAAAAATGCCTTTGAGGGCAAAGAAATCTCATCATTCTTCTCAAAGTATAGTACTGAAATTAAAAGTGTGAGCAAGAGAGAAAATTTTACATCCTCAAGTATGGTTATGAGTACCTTCCTAAAAATGTCGGCAGCTTTCCAAATTCAGAAATCTACAATTCAGAGTGTTAGAACTGCTTCACGGAGCCACAGTCACAGCGTAGGAAGGTGAAATAAGGGCAAAGGAAGCATGCTCAACAAGCAAGCCTTTTACGTCACAGGAACAGAAAAGGCTCAAGAATTTATCTTATCATTTGGTTAATTCACAGAGTAATAACTGTTACTGTTCAAGCAGCTAGAATGGAAAGAGAATACTACATTTATTTCAGAAGATTACATTCAGTTTAGAATAAGCTGTGTCAAATCTATTTGGAATGAGAGAGGGATAATAATGTTATTAATTTATAAAGAGACCCCTCTCTCACAGACACTTGGCACATCATCATGTGATATATAAAGAAGGATTAAAATTAGCTATTACCTTTTCACTCATTCCAAATCTGGTAACCATTCGCTTTGCTATTTTGGTTGCATTATCAAAATCACTGGAAGCACCTAAGATTTTCAAATACACGCAGAATGTAATGTACAGCACAGGGAATAGAGTCAACAATATTGCAATAACTGTAGAACAACAGATGATAACTAGTATTATCAGGGTGATCATTTTGTAATGTAAATAAACGTCCAATCACTATGTCATATACCTGAAACTAACACAGTACTGTATGCCAACTACACTTCAATCATAAAAATAATAAATAAAATAAAAATATACATAGAACTCAATTTTTAAAAATATCTTTAAACCAGTCAATGCAATTTGAATGAAAGCCATGCTTTACAGCCAACCTGTTGTAATATGATCAGTTCCAAATATAAGCTCCTCGGCCACTCTTCCTCCCATACTAACATCCATTTGTGCAAGCAGCTGAGCTCTAGTCTCATTCCATCTGTCATTCTCAGGCAGCAGGGACACCTAGACAATTGAAAAACAGAGAAAAACCTCATACACAGGTTTGAAACATGTATATTAATAACCAGAATGATCACTGTTCTCTCACAACCTTACTTAACACCATGACGCTGAAAGCTCAAGGACATTTAGTAGAGACGGTCATCAGTGACTGATGACAAAGCCAGCAACTGATAAAATAAGAAAAATTTTTTATACAGAAAAAGTGCATTTTATAAACAAGAGGTAGATAACATTATGATAGGACTGCTTTATCTTTAGTTGCACAAAAATGTTTAAAATGTTTATAATTAGAAAGATACGAGAATGAAACTTGTATCATTGAGAAAAATCTTAGAACTACTGAACCAGTCACTGTAAAACATAATTTCTTTTTAGCAGGAAAAGAACAATTACATATTTAAGAAATAGACTGCTGTCATTCCTGAATTAAATTTCATAATATAAATATACAATATCTGAAATATTAAGAAAATATTCTTTATTAGCAGACAAATTTCCCAAGTATCTCTGATTTCAAGATGGTTCAGGAAGTTAAAGAAAGTATTAATATACTTAGGAAGTAGTCGAATTTTCTTTTTCTAATGTTTCAATGGCCATTTCCTACTTAAGCTTCTGGGGAGTGCTGTCTAAGAGAAAAGAAAAAACTACAAGACGCTTACATGTCCAAGTGTTGGCCCTCGTGGCATGATTGTAGCCTTGTTGATAGGCATCGCGTCTTTAGTGTAATATGCAATAATAGCGTGACCAGACTCGTGATACGCTGTGATGGTTTTGTTTTTGTTATCAATTTCCACACTTCTACGTTCAGGCCCTAAGGACAAAAGTTTAATTAAGTAAAATTCCCCAACAAGAAGGTATATTTAAATGAATGAAACATATTTGCCTTAAAGTCATTCTTAGAATAACACATATCATGATTTAATATTTTAAACAGAGTAAAAGTTTAAAAAGTTAGAATTCACCCTATAACACATAAACCACGATGATTTGTCAACTGAAAACCAAAACTGTAAGAACTATCATCTGAATTCTTATAAAGAGGGAAAGCTTAATTCTATTTCTAGAAAATAAACTTCCAATCTAACAAGAACGTCATAACTAACCTGTTTTTTGAAGTCAATTCAAGATTTCAAATCAAAATTAAATACAGAGACTAAGTAAAATTAACTATTCTTTTATCAGCAATATCAGACAAAAGGAAACATGTGGGCTGCCTTGCCTCCACATGATGTAATCATATGAGCTACAATATTATTTGTTCTGGAAGAGGCCAAACTGTGTTGCTCGTTTCGAGTACATATTTTCATGTTCCTATACCTTTCTTTTTCATAACCTTTCTCTTAAAAAGAAGTACTCTCTAACATAATGAATAGTATAAGATAGAAAAAAACCTACCCATGAGAATTTTATCTTTGGAAAACTCTAGCTCCTTCATGGTAACCATTTCTTTTCCATCAACGGCTGCTTTTAACGCAGCTTGGTTCACAAGATTCTCCAACTCTGCCCCGGAAAAGCCAACAGTGCCTCGAGCTATGATTTCAGGATCAACAGCTGTGTAGACAGAACACGATACTGAAATTCTAAAACCAGCTCTTCACAAAGAAATCACATTCCTCACCCCCAAAAAAAGAAAAAAGAAAACTGAGGTCCTAAACTATAATTTAAAATATTTATCTTAATGAAACTATAAATTAAACTTACATTAGTAAATTCTAAGGGAAAAACGCCAAAACTGCCATTAGAATTGCCAGTGGGACAAATCACAAAAGTCCTTAAACCTAGGCAACTATGAAAAACAAAGAAATGCAGCATTGCCAGACAAGATTTATAAACTTTCAATTATGACCTCTATCGTTATGAGCCTAAGCACGAATTTAAAAAGCAGACTCTCAGATAACAACAGATACTTTGTTTTCTCAATCTCACCTTGAAATACTTTGGACACAAAAGCTCCCCTTACTATAAGAATTATATTTGGTTTTATAAACTGATTCAGCCATCTTTGAAAATATGGCAGCTTAAACAGCTGCTTTTATTACTCATGTGGGTCCATAATATTTCCATGTGTTTTGTTTTACAGTTTGCTTTCTCCTCTTTTGGCCCCAAAGTGACTATATCATGAAGTACAGTGCTCATGATATACAGATGCTTTTTCTATTATTTTCTATTTTACGTTCATCTCAAAAAACATTTATACATATATTCATCTTCAAATAGCATCTATCTGAATACTCTAAAGAAAACTTTGTTTAGAATCACAACTCAAAATGACAGAATCTCCTGGATACATAGTAATTAAGGAATAGACTTTTTTTAAAAGTATAAATGAAGATTAAAAAAGACACATAAAGGAACTGGTCTCGGGGCCAGCCCAGTGTCACAGCAGTTAAGTTCGCATGTTCTGCTTCAGCAGCCAGGGGTTCGCCAGTTTGGATGCCAGGTGGGGACCTACGCACCCCTTGTCAAGCCATGCTGTGGCAGGTGTCCCACATATAAAGTAGAGGAAGATGGGACAGATGTTAGCTCAGGGCCAGTCTTCCTCAGCAAAAAGAGGAGGATTGGTGGCGGATGTTAGCACAGGGCTAATATTCCTCAAAAAAAAAAAGGAACTGGTCTTTTACAACATTTATCAAGTAAGGACCACAAACAACATAGTTTGATATAATTTTATAAAGATAATGATGTTTGTTTTATGGAATTAGACTTACACTGATCAAACTTTATTTTATTGAGATACCATTTTAAAATTTCTGTTCGACCTTTTACATCCGGCCTTGGAACTGTAACTTGCATGTCAAAACGACCAGGACGTATTAAGGCGCTGAAAGGAGAACACAAAAAGAACATATAAATGAACAAGCTGACTATGCTGAACATCAAGTTAAATAGGACTGACACACTAAGGAGGGGACGGAAAGACAATGGGAACCAGAGGTTAAGATGGAGTGTTGATCATACATGATCAGATAGTTGCTTGTAAAATATGGCTCAAATGACAGTTTCAGTACCCAGAAGGCAGAACAAAGGTTCATATAGATACACATGTGCACCTAGAGGGCACACATCCCTCAGCAACAAACGCACCAGTCAGTCAGTCCAGAACAAATAATCCTACAGCAGTCTATTACGAGAGCTACACACCCATCTTAACTGCTAAAATACAGAATGTGACAGTCTCAGGCAAAGAAAAACTATTAGACCAAATGAAAATATGAATAACTTCTATAATAAAATGAACAAACTAGTACTACAGTAAATTTTACTTTAAAATGCTCTCCACAGCAACCCAAGTGCCCATCAACTGATAACTGGATAAAGATGATGTGGTGTATATATACACAATGGAATACTACTCAGCCACAAAAAACGAAAATCGTCCCACTCACAACAACACAGATGGACCCTGAGAGTATTATGTTAAGTGAAATAAGGCAGACAGAAAAGACAAACACCATATGATTTCACTCATATGCGGAAGACAAATTAACACATGGACAAAGAGAACAGATTAATAGTTACCAGAGGGGAAAGGGGCTGGAGGTGTGGGTATAATGGGTAAAGGGGCACATTTATATGGTGACTGGCAAATAATAATGTACAAGTGAAATGTCACAATGTTATAAACTAGTATAACCTCAATAAAATTAAAAAAAAAAAATTCTCCATCACCCAAAATTTTATAAGCAAAGATTCTTTTAAGAACTTTATTGAGACAGAATTCACAGATCACAGAATTTAAACTGAATAATTCAGGGATTTTTAATATTCAAAGTTATACAACCATCACCACAATCTAATTTTAGAATATGTTCATCCCCCAAAAAAGGAACCTCATATCCACTAGCAGTCATTCTCCATTCTCCCCAGCCTTCGGCAATCACTAATTACTTTCCACTGTTATGGATTTGCTTATTCTGCACATTCCAGATAAATGGAGTAACATAATATGTGATGTTTTGTGATGGACTTTTCTTTTAGCACAATGTTTTTAAAGTTCATCCATGTTCTAACATGTATCAGTACTTCACAAAAGTTTTCTTTTAATACTTACTTGTCTAATGCCTCTGGGAAGTTTGTGGCCCCTATGATGATAACTCCTTCATTGGGTTTAAACCTATTTTTTTAAAAAAGCAGTTTTTCACTGAAAATTAAAACAGCACATATATACAAACATTCTACACAAAACTGTTTATATCATTAATCTTAACAATAGCAAAGAAAAGGGATCTTTTTCATGCCCAAAATGATAATGATAATGATAATGATAATGATAAAACAATCCCTAATTGTTTTTTAAAAGGAACAGATGTTCAGCCAGTACACTTTAATAAAACTGCTAATAATAAATCCCCAAATCATCTGTGATTACACACCTTCACAATATTTGTTCTACTTAGGAAGAGATAACTTGACACAGAAAGCTTGGTTACCTGACTAATTTTTGAAAAATTATTTTCAAATTTACCAATTCAAATTATTTGCTTCTAGACTTCCTATTTGTTTCCAGAATGTCTTGTATGACTTTGAGACATTTTTACTTCTCTTAAAGCAAAGCCACCTCTTGCTTTTTATATTAGGAAAATTGATGCAAGTTTTTTAATCTCCCACAACGCTTCAAGCTATCACGGATTCTGTGGGAACCAGCATGCTCTCCCCTTTCCATCTCCAACAGACCACTAGTCACAGCTGGAGTCACTGCTTTCCTGTCGGAAGCAGGATACATTAAATGAGAAAAGGCGTAAGCATCACAATGAAGAGGAGCTGATACATGAATGATCCCATTAGTAACGGAAACAACACAACACTTAGAAAAGCCTGTCTTAACTTCTTGCACAAGGGACTATTCTGTTGCCTTTAAATATGCTTTTCCTAGCTCTAGAATGTTACCAAAAACATCACCATATCCCACAGACAGAGGAGGATTCCATTACCCATCCATTTCAGCAAGAAGTTGATTTATGGTCTGCCTTGAATATGGATGCATTGGAGATTCAATTCGCTTGCCACCAACAGAATCTAATTCATCAATGAATATAACACAAGGAGCATTTGCTTTTGCTTCCCCTACAAAAACAGAAAAGATTCACGTAAGTTTAAAGATATCAACAGTTTTTGAACAAAGTCAAACATATTAAAACCTTGTAAGATTGTCAAAAGTCAACAAAAGACACTCATTTTGTGTACTCAAAATACACAAAAGCCCTTTTTTTAAACCTATTTTTAAGAACAACAGCCTCAGAACAAAAACAACTATACAACATAGAATGATCTAAAATAAAAAATAATTGAGTATTCATTCTTCCTAGCTGTACAGATATCATATACAATCAAGTTTGAGGCTAAATACTCTTTAATTACATACTGCAGCATTGATGAATAAAATGAAAACACAGCTTTTCAGCAGCCCTAAACCTCATCTACACTTCTGCTAACTCTTCGGACTATTTAAGAAAGAAGTCAAGTTCCGTTTTGTTAAACGTTAAAGTTACCCGAACCCAGAACCCGACAAGGGCTATTTCAGCTATCAATCATATTAAAGAAGCAAAGAAAGGGTAAGAAACCCTCTTTCCCTAAAATTAAGACAATTTCATATTGTATGAAAGATACATTAAAACGTACTAAAAAGATTTCTTATACGGCTGGCTCCCACACCCACAAACATCTCATCAAATTCTGATCCAGAAGCATAATAAAAAGGAACATCGGCTTCTCCCGCCACAGCTCGGGCAAGAAGTGTCTTTCCTGTCCCTGGTGGTCCAACCAAAAGAATTCCTAAGAGAAAATGTAAAGAATGATTCAAATTAAAAAAACTCTGATATGAACCTATAAAACAAATAATTATTAATTTACATAGCTTTGAGGTTGAAGACACATCAATGGCCAATATTGTGAAAGAGCATAACCTATCTGTCTTTGCTAGTGACTGACTTCAGGATCTTCTCCATAACTGGCTTTCCCGTATCATCTAAATACTCTTTACACATCAGCCACAGACAAGACAGAATCTTGGGGGAAAGGAATATGAACACTTATCACTAAATAGATTAAAAAAATTCACATAAAAACAAATTAAGAGAGTAAACAACCAAATGACTTGATGTTCTTCCATTAAAAAAAGTTGAAAAAAAATCTAGGGACATTTGGTGAAAAATTGAAAACAGACGGGAGAGCACTGATATTAAGGAAACAGTGTTTAATTATTATTTGGTAGGATAAATTATTGTGTTTATTTAAGACAATGTCCTTATCCTTAGGTGATGCATAACAAAATATTCAGATGTAAAGTAGTTAATATCTACAGCTCTCTTCCTAACTTTTCCATACGTTTCAAAAATGTCAAAATAACAGTAAGTTTTTCATAAAACCCCGCCTAAATATCCTTAATATTCTCCTAATATTGCCACATTATTGATTCCGAACTGCTTTAAATCAGAACCCTAAATTAACAAAGGTTCTTGCAAACATTTTTATATATTGCTGAACACTGTAAGCAGAGATACTGGGCAGTATAAAAACAAGCGTTAAATAGGAGTGCCCCTTTAACTCAGCAATTCCATTTCTAGAATTAGAACGTAGAATAATATATAAATACACCTAAAATTTATTCTAAGGAAATAAGTAGGCATGTAGGCAAAGCTTTGAGATATTAAGGTGATCATCACAGAGCTAATTTTAGTAGCAAAACTTCAGAAACAATTTAAAAGTTCAATATAAATGGTTAAAGTACAGTAAAACATATAGTGGCAGGACACCATAACATCATTAACCAGCTGAGTGTCCTACAATTCCACTCAATTCTGACACTATCTGCCTGGAGATAGCATCAGATCTCACAGCTTAAAGGCTGGGTCCCACAAGACTGCCCCAGCCCCCCACCTCAGCCACCAGGTGCAAGTCCAGGTTATTACCTGTCCATCTGACCAGAGGCTATAGATCAGGGGACAATTAATTTGCTAGAGCAGCTAACAGAATTCAGAGAAACATTTTACTTACTAGATTAGCAGTTTATTATAAAAGAATGTTTCTGGCACAGCCAGATAGATGTAAGAGATACACAGAGCAAGGCAGGGAAAAGGGACGAGCAGCTTCCATGCCCTCTCCAGGGGCACCACTCCATCTACATCTCCACGTGTTTACCAACCCTGCAGCTCTCTGAATCCCATCCTTCTGGGGTTTAATGGAGGCTTCACTACTTAGGAATGATTAATCAAAACACTGGCCATTTGGCGATTAAGCTCAATCTCCAGCCCCTCTCCCCTAGGCAGGGCTGAAAGTTCCAACCCTCCAATCACACGGTTGGTTCTCCTGTCAACCAGCCCCCACCCTTAGGTGTGTTCCAAAAGTCACCTCAGTAACATAAAAAGACATCTTCAGCACTCTCATCATTTATGAAATTCCAAGAGTTTTAGGAGTTCTGTGCCAGAAAATGGGAAAAAAGACCAAATAGATATTTCTTACTATAAAGCACAATATCACAGTCATTAAAAATCACATTGAGTAACTGAGAAAACATTAGACAAAGCCAAACTGAGAAACATTCCACAAGTAGTGTATACTCTACACAACTATTAAGATCATAAAAGATCCCCTAAAAAAGGCTGAGGAATTTTTTTCATACTAAAGAAAAAACTAAATATTGTGTGTGAACCTAGACTGGGTCCTGAAGCTGGGGTGGGTGGGGGAGATGCGAAGACCTCACTACAAAGGATTTTATTGGGACAACTGCTGATACAGTAGTCCTCCCTTATTCGAGGGGAAAATGTTCCAAGACCCCAGTGGGTGTCTGAAACCATGGATACTACCGAACCCTATATATACTATGTTTTTCCCATACCAAACACTTGTCATGCTGTATGGCCATAACTTTTGTAGTCTGAGCTGAGACAGCAAAACTAGCATGAATTTCCTTTTCCTTCTTCACATTTTCAAAGATAGAAAATTCATTCTCATCACAGATCTTAGAAACCTCAGCATACGAATTTTTTTCTTTCCTTAAGTCAATAACTTTAACCGTTTCACTTAAAGGAAGCACTTTACGTCTTCCCTTCGGCATATCTGAACTGCCAGGATCACTACTCTTGCGCTTTGGGACCACAATTAAGTAAAACAAGGGTTACTTGAACACAAGCACTACGATACTAACAGCCGATCTGAGATGGTTATTAAGTGACTAACTGGCAGGTGGCATGTACAGCGTGGGTATGCCAGGCAACGGGATGATTCACATCTCAGCCAGATGGAGCGAGATGGCGCAGGATTTCATCACACTACTCAGAACACCATTCAATTTGAAACTTATAAACTGTTTATTTCTGAAATGTTCCATTTAATGTTTTCAGACCGTCAGTAACAGAAACTGCAGATAAGGGGTCACTAGTGTATTTGAATATGACTGTGAATTTGATAATAGTTCTGGATCCATGTTAAATCTATTGATTTTAATAATTGTACTGGAGTTATTTAAAGAGACTATCCTTATTCTTAGGAAATACACAATGAGGTATTTTGGGGTGAGGGAGCAAAATATCTACAATTTATTCTCAGTTAAAAAATTAGATGCATGTAAAGAAAGTGAAACAATAAATGAGAGAAAATGTTAAAAAAACTGTTGAGTCTGAGTTAACAGCACAGTGACATGTCACTGTACTATTCTTGCAACTTAAAGTTTGAAATTATAGCAAAGCTTTAAGCTATCAAAAAGAAAAAGGCTATAGAATGCTATGTTCAAAATGAGAACTTACTTGTAAAACAGCAATTAAGAACTAAACTTTAATCATTAAATCTGACAAACATTAAATTAGTAATATATTACAGTACTTTTTGATGTCAAGTCATGGTAAAAGGAAGATATCTTACCTTTTGGAAGTTTACCTCCAAGCACAGTAAATTTTTGTGGATTTTTCAAGAATTCAACAACTTCCTGTAATTCTTGTTTAGCTTCCTCCACCTAAAGTGACACAATTTACAAAATAATTTAAAATAATGATGAGATTATCATGGCACCCTCTTTGAAAATCGTAAATTTAATTGGAAATTAACTTGGCTTTCTCTTTGTTTCAGTAAACGAAGAAGAGAAAAATGCACACAGAAAGGGCTTTCTCCTAACCCTTATTTTCAATTAGGCAAAATCTTCTTACAAATTCCAACAAAAGCCATTTTTAACTTATATTTTCAAGAAATAGTGCTTCCTCCAATTAACAAGGGCTATTACATTCAAAATTCTAGTTAATTTATGTCAGTGGTATTTGATACAAACACAAAGAGTTGAAACTAAGTTTCAAATCCCTAACTTTTTGGACCTGGTAATAAGTTTCAAGGGCAAATTATGTGGACTTAGCATATATTAATAATAAGGGAGTCTGTGTTTAACTTATAACTTTAATTTGTGATTAATTATGGCAATTATGAGGTTGTTTTCATTATAAGGAATTACTAGTAGGTTATAAATGATTCAGTTCCTAACAGATGCCAAAGGATAATGACTAAAATTAAGCTATGGTATACTGATACTGTTTTGTAAATGATTGTGGTAAAAAAAAGTTCATAAGATTTAATTCCCAAAATATAAAATTTTGCAGAACTGCAATCCTTAGCAAGAATAAAGCCCAATCTGGCCAACAAAGATGGCAAGCAGAACACTAGCTAAAAACTCTGATACTTATATATAGCAAGCTGCCTATGAGAAATGGTGAGCAATTTTCCTAGTTGATTACAACTAGAAGTCACAAATGAAACCAAAAATTGAGTGCAGAAGGCCAGATGTAAAACAACAGTGGTGGCAATAAGCTGAACTGAAAAGCCATAGCCCCTTCAAGAGGGCAACACCACAACTTGGCTCTACCAAGGAACAGAGACTTAGTGCGCCAGACTTTAATTTTCCAAGGAAAAAACCAGAAATCTTTATGTGGGTGAAATCTTCCCAATTTAAAAATGTTGGCTACCAATTTAAAGTGTCTGCGTATGTACTTATTTACATTCATTTATCTTAAATTACTCTGGCCAACAAATACATTTGTTAACCCAATTTAGCTCACTGGCAGTCAATTTGCAACCTCACATTACACAACTTTAAATAGCTCTCAGTGACAAAAAAGAACTGAAGTACATTGGGCAGCGTTAAAAAAGCTACCTGGGAAGGAGTGCAGTAAAACATGAAACAGATCTCTGGGCCAAAGGGCATTCTGATAATCTAAAATTAAACTCATGACTATCTTAGATTTCCCAGGACTATTTCTAGGAAATGTACAATTGGTAAAGAGTAAACAAGTTTTTTTAGGCTTGAAATGGTTTTCAGAGTTATTCTGATTATTAAAATTTACTAAAATGTTTATAAAGTCAAGGGTTAAAAGCAAAGCTTTGTCCACTCCCAGGCACAAGAGAAGTGTGTTCATATGCTCACCAAGAGATCTGTACAACAACATTCACAGCAGGACTATCTGAGCCAAACCTAGACACAACCACATGTCCACCTAACGTGGAATAAACACACAGTATCGTGGTTTTCGTGGAATAGAACACCATGCAATGAGGATGAATGAACTACCACTCCATATAACACCACGGACGGAGCTCACAAACATCATGTTGACGAAACAAGTCGTACATACTACATGTATCACATTTATATAAAATTCAAAAACCGCCCAAACTAACCTACGGTATTAGACAGGACAGTGCTCACCCTCGGAGTGGGGAGAGACGGTCACTGGAAAGAGGCACTAGGCAGGCCCTGGCGTTCTGTTTCCTGAGCTGGGTGCTGACAACATAGATGTGTTCAAAGCGGTGTGCGAAAATTTATTGAGGTGTACATTTACGATTTGTGCATTTTTGTGTGAGTTTGTGCATAAAATTTATGTTTAAAAAAGATCTGGCTAAATTATCAAAAGAATTTCTTGAAATATTCAAAGAGATTTATATACTACAAGAAGACCAACATACATTTAGTCAAGGTAATGGCTAACTTTAAATTGGAGGAAAAAGGAAAACAGTAAACATCATCTACTATTCAAAATACACTTTCTCTCCCCAACCTCTGTGGTAACAGAAATCCTTGAGGAAGATGAAATCTATGGAGGAAAATAGGGTTGGGGGATCAAGGCAGCGAATGAAGGTATGAAAGCCCTTATGAATGTTTCCCTTTATGTTCAGGAATTCTGGGCAAGGAAATGACATTCCTATACAAGCTCTTTAAGACCTGGTGAAAGTGATCACAGCTACTTCTAGTGGCATACTATTATGGTAAATGCTACTGAAATACTTTGCTCCACATAAACTTAGATTTTACAGCAATTATAACATTTATTCATATTATCACGGGAAACTGTGAGGATCCACCTTGTGATGTCCCCCTTGCCTAATGTTTGGGTGTCAACACATCTTCTCTAATTTTGCACTTCAAATGGCCTCATCTGAAAAGAAATGTGATGTACTGAGTAATGAAGTACATACACCGCAGGGAGAGAGTAAGGACGCCTCGCTGACCACGGCCTTAGTGCAAGCTCAACGTAAGCAGGCTCCCTGACTGCAGCCCTCAGACAGAACGAGAAGGGCCCTCTGCACTGACGCGTCTAGCTTTCAAATAGTCACTGCACCAGCCTCTTCCTCTACTGCTCACTTTTCACAATCCCAGCAGGGTTCACAGCTACTTCAACTGCAAAGGAACAAAAGGACCGCTTGGTGTAAAAACTACCGTAATGACTCGCAACACCGTATTCCCCAACAGCCAAGGCAGAAAACAAACGTTCCCTCATCAACAGAAAACAGAGTGTGCAAAGAGGAGGAGCAGAAACAACCTAAGCAGCCTCTTCGGAGTTGGAAGAGTCCTCAGAAGTCATGGCTTTCAAGCCCCTCCTGCAGGAAGAATTTCTTCCAAAACCTTCCTCAAAGACGATGCCCAGCCTCTGCTCGAACATGTTCAATAGCGACACGTCTTTAAGTTACAAGACAATCTGTTTAAACGGTAAAACACTATCATTACGCTTTCTTTCCTGCTCAGTCAGAGGAAAACGCTCCTGTTGATACAACTCGGGAACAGCCCGATGGAACACATGCACAAGGCAAGGTATACAGGAAGGGGTGTAGGGCTCCCAGGCCCTCTCTGGGGGCGCCACTCTCCCAGCACCTCCACACGTGCACCACCCCGGAAGCTTCCTGAACCCCCACTATTGGGATTTTTATGAGGCTTCCTCGCATAGTCATGACCAATTATTAACTCCATTTCCAGTCCCTCTCCCCTCTCTGGAGAATGCGGAATGGAGATAAACGTTCTAAGCTTTTAACCTTGCCTTGGCCTTTCTGGTGAGCAGCCCTCATCCTGAAGCCATCCAGGAGCCCACTCAGAGTCCCCTTATTAGAACAAAAGATACTCTAAACACCCAGGAAACTCCAAGGGATTTAGAAGCTCTGTGTCAGGAACCAGAGGCAGAGACCAATGTACCTATTTTCTATTATTTCACACCTTTACAATCAAATATTGGTCTTATACAAGTATATAATGTTTGAAGAGGGGAATGTAAACTTTTTAACTTACTCCTTTAACATGTTCAAAGGTGACATTTTTCATCTGGACAGGATCAACTGCAGAATCAAGCCCTGTTGTTGTCCGGAAGCGAACTAACAGGAAGAAAAGAAATGTTTATACGTTTCATAGAATCAGAAAATTCTAACCACCTTGTTTTTCAGATGCAAGAAAGCAAAACACAGAAAAATTAAGTATCTGAGTCCACATACATTCAATCAGGGTAAGGAGTAGAAACTAGGTCTTCTGGATTGCTAGCCAATGTTCAAGGGAGAGATGATTCACATTAGAACAGCATCTTTGTACTTGCCTGTTAAAACTAAGAATTATTTTCCTCTGCTCCTTCTAATATTTAACAACAGAAATCTTAATCCAATGGTTTTCAAACTCCAATACGCAGAAAAATCACTTGAGAAATGTATTAATGCAGGTTTCCAAGCCACATGGCCCAGGCCTTCTGGTTTGTAAATTTAGGAAAAGAGCCCAGGAGAGTTTGCATTTTTGATAATCATCCATAATTATCCTGATTCAACTAATCGTGGATCTACACTTTGAAATACATCCCCTTGAACCTAGCATAAAAAAGTGGTTCTGGCATTAAAAAAAAGAAAGGGTGAAGCTTAACAGACTATTTCACTGCTCATGTAGGCTTCTCCCTTTGACAACTGATAATACTTGCCCTTAGATGATACAGCAGTAATGACATCATTCAGTACGAGACAGACAGTAACAGTTTGGTAGGATAATAAAATATTTGAGATCAACTGTGGGGAAACTATTAGAAAGCTTTCTTAAACCTCTCCTCCCTCAGTAAACTTCCACAGTAGAAGGAGCTATAAATGAGTAAACTGCGCAATTTCTAATTTCCTCAGAAGAAGCCAAAAATATTGTCTTTAAGATAAACTGAAATTTAGGGCTGGCCCGGTGGTGCAGTGGTTAGGTTCACATGGTCTGCTTTAGCAGCCCGGGGGTTTGCTGGTTCAGATCCCGGGTGCGGACCTATACAATGCTTGTCAAGGCACGCTGTGGCAGGTGTCCCAGATAAAATAGAGGGAGATGGGCATGGATTTTAGCTCAGCGTCAGTCTTCCTCAGCAAAAAGAGGAGGATTGGCAGCAAGTGTTAGCTCAGGGCTAATCTTCCTCCAAAAAGGAAAAAAAAAGATACACTGAAATTTAGAATGATGTAGGCAAAAGTACAGGGTTAACAAGAAATGCTTAACATAGTAAGAACATACAAGTTAGGCGACCAAATTTACAACAGTAATTTTAGAATGGAAACTAACAGTTTTAGCCTACTAAATTATTTAAATACCTAGATAGTTATTGGAATGTGAGTAAATTTGCAGGAGAACCACCTGGACGTAACAAAAACTTACAGTAATTACCCAAAGGTATATTTTGCTTAATATATCAATTAAGAAACATAAAAGAATAATCAGAACTCATCCCACCCTCCTACTACCCCACCAATCTCACCCTATTGTCCTGATACTGGTTCTTTTTGGGAAAAAAGGAGACAAGAGAAGGTGAATCTAGGTATAAAAAGGCTATTCCTGGATGTCAAAACCTAATCTCAGGTTTGATGCCACAAAAAACTTTAAAAACATATGGGGCTACATGCAAGTTCTGGGATGAAGTCCTGATCCAGGTCAATCGATGTTCTTAACTGGACATTAGCTTTTGCTCTCAAGGTAATCAATCACAAAGAGTAGAGAACACAGGGCGAAAACTGAGTAGCAGTTGAAAAGGCAAGTGGAACCACTTACACCTGACATGAGTACTTTATATTAAACTGGCAAACTGAAAAAATAACGGGACTCATTTAAAGTCTTATTCTTAATATATTTTTAAAACAAATTCAATTTATTAATTTGTCTTTGAAACAGATGACTATTTCATCTTGTATTGCTATTATAAATTCTTCAACATTTTAAAAAATTTTCTAATTGGACAGGGATCATTTTCTAAAAACCTGGGACACTAACCATTACTCGAACTTGAAATAACATTTTCACTCTAACATAATCCTGGGAACTTTAACAAAATATTAATCATCTATCTCGAAAACTTGAATTTGTACAGTGTCTGAAGGAACTTTGTCATCCACAAAGCGATATGAATAAGCCCTCAGACGATGCAGACCATACACAATCACAACAGATTAAAACTTTTCTACTTCCAAGCGAAAAGCAATCTCAAAGTGACCCAATCTGAGAAATCCTGACTCAGGAATTGAAGGCCTAGACCTATAAACATTAATGTTTTCTTTCTCTAAGTCTTAGGTAGACTAACTATGAAAAATAGATGAGTATTTAAAAGATTTTTTTAAATAAGTCAGATAAATAAAAAGAGCCTTTACCAGATAAAAATGGGTTTTTTAAGAGTCCATAAATGCCAAATAGCAGCAGAACAAACAGAATCAGACGGGTTCGTCTTAGAGAATCTGGAGGAGAAAGAAAAAGCCTTAAATCAAATGACATCAACGAGAAATGACAGCTCAATGAGACGCAAACATCAGGCTAAACTGATGATGATCCCATTTCATCACATGCAATCTTGGAACCTGGCATCCTTCTGCAGAAGTGCCAGGATTTCCTTTCAGCACCCTCTTACCATAAACTTCATGGAGTCACTCATGCTTCTATCCTTGCCTTTGGTTTCTCACTTGATAAAGTGAAAGTGCCAGTAGGTATTTCCATTTTTACACAGCTTAAGTTACAAACATGGTAGAATATAACCAAGAGAAAGTTGGATGATTGTTAGAAAAGTTATTTACAATCACTTGAAGGTAGGACTACAACTTCCTTTCCAACATTCTTCTCAAACACATGGTGTCAAATCAACGTACCATTGGTTTTTTGTGTTAGTGCTTGAGCTTTCAGAAAACCCTCTGCAAAACCAGTTTTAAAAGCATCTTGATGAGCTTCAGGTATGTTTTTGGTTTTCATGAGTTTGTCCAAACTCTCAACATCTGTTCCTCTGTCCCGCAAAAGAAATCCCTAAATACACAAACAACACATCAGTATTGGTTGACTATATAGATAACGACACTCCCCAGAAATATTGTGACTTGTGACCACTCACAAAATAATTCATTAAAATTCTACTATTTCCCATTTTTATTATCAATGTGAGGAATTAGATTAAAATTCAGCAATACATCTCTTAATCAATGGCTAGGAAACTAACACTGGACCCTAGACCTGCATCGATCATTTAATATAAAGAAACTCTCTGAAAGAACACTACTGAAACAGTTGATGGCACATTCCTTTATCTCTGCCAGAGGAAAATCCTCATTCCTATATTAAATGTTTATTGAACACATTTCATCTATTTGGCCCTGTGTAAGTTCTGAAGACACAAGTAAATAACTAATGATCTGAATGTTTTCAGTCTATAGGGGAGAGATGCATAAATAACTAAAAAATCATTTTGATATTTTGTTAGAAATGCTAGGTATGGTGGTAAAATAAATGCTACTTAAGGAAGTCAGGAAAAGCCTTAAAGAGATTGGATATCTAAACCACAGGGAACAAACAACATGAACAATGTGACAGAGGCATGAAACAGCAGACTTTAGTGCTCAAGAACTGCAAGCAATCTTCTGTGACAGGACTTCAAAATGCCAAGCGAGGAGGAGGGTAGGGGGACAAAGGGGGTGGCACATTGAAAGATGGGAATAGAAAAATGGTAGGCAGGGGCCAAATGATGCAATGGCCTGTGCACCACGGCAGGAGTCTGACAATAAAGCAGAGGAATATAATTATTACATTAATACATGTTAGACAGACTGGTGGTGGCAGTCTAGAAGCTAGACTGAAGGTAGCAAAACGAAAGGCAAGGAGACTAAATGAATGTTTATTAGAGTAATCCAGGCAAGAAATGGTTATAGTCTAGCTATGCAGTGGAACTGGGGATTATGAGAGAGAGATTCAAGAAATACTTAAGGGTCGGCCCAGTGGTGAAGTGGTTAAGTTCACACGCTCAGCTTCAGTGGCCCGGGGTTCACCGGTTCTGATCCCGGGCACGGACCTATGCACCGCTTATCAAGCCATGCTGTGGTATGCATCCCACATATAAAACAGAGGAAGACAGGCACAGATGTTAGCTCAGGGCTAATCTTACTCAAAAAAAATAAATAAATAAAAATAAAAAAGTATTTAAGAGGCTGGATCAATAGAACTTAACCAATTCATGGATGTGGGAGGTGGGAGAAGATGGACAAATCAAGGTTGGTCCCCAGGTTTCTAGCTGAAGTGGATGCTACTCATTAACACAGAGAACACACATGCAGGTATAGGCTGGCAGGGGAAAAAAATCAGGAGGGAGACATCTAATAGGCAAGTGGAGAGAAAAGCCTGGTACCCAGAAGAGCTGTAGGTGTAAAGATCACACAGGTTATTCGTCCTTTTTCGTAAGTGGAAAGATGGCAGAAAACCAATCAGCCAACAAAAGAAATCAGATATTGAAGGTTCTCATTTTAATAACTCGAAAATTACTGCTTTTTCGAACCAAAAAAAGGTCTAATTACCTTCACGAATGATGGTGCTATATGCTGTGTTTCTGCTAATCTTTCAGAGGTAGACTGCAGACGTCGTGTCCTTGATTTCAAAGTTTTAAAACTCCGAGCCTGTATGAAAACTGAATAAAACAGGAGCATATTTACCTCTCATTGTAAGTTTCTATAAGAAAAGAAAATTGCCTAAGATTCAACACTCTGCCACCATACTTGTACTTCCTACTTTATCATCTTATTTTTTTTTTTTTTTTTAAAGATTTTATTTTTTCCTTTTTCTCCCCAAAGCCCCCCGGTACATAGTTGTGTATTCTTCGTTGTGGGTTCTTCTAGTTGTGGCATGTGGGACCTGCCTCAGCGTGGTCTGATGAGCAGTGCCATGTCCGCGCCCAGGATTCGAACTGACGAAACACTGGCCCGCCTGCAGCAGAGCGCGCGAACTTAACCACTCGGCCACGGGGCCAGCCCCTATCATCTTATTTTTTAACACTTCATTGCCTGACACATCAACACACTTATCATTAAAGTCATCAAAATGGATTGAATCTATACAAATAACTTTACATTTTCTTGGTAATTTAAAATGTTAAAAAAAAAAAAAACAGTAAATGAGTATCAAATAAAAGTCAGCATCTCCTAATTCCTCCAACCCTCATCCTGCTCCCCAGAAGTAACCCTGTTAACCATTCTGTGACTAAACTTCTATGCACTGAAACACATGCTCTTTCTATAAAAATAGCACGTAACTTTTTGTAATTGTCTTCCTTTACTTAACAACACATCATGGACATTTTCCAGAACAGGTCAGATAGTGCATTTGGTTTAACGGCTGTTCATAGTTTTCCAATTTATCAGAGTACGGCAATTTATTCAACTTCTTCTCTACTATGGACATTAGTTGTTTCCTGTGTTTAAATGCTAAAAATAATACTGCAGTACACATTCTTGCACATATTATCTTTCGGCACATGTGAACTAATTCTTAAAAGTGAAACTGTGAGGTTCAAATTATTAGACACTGAGAAATTGCCGTCTAAAAGGCTATTATCGATTTTTACAAACACCAATGAATATGAATGTCCTTTTCTCCATACTGTTGCAAACACCGGATGTTACAAATACAAATTTGTACAAATCTGAGAGGTAAAACTGAGACCTTGTTTTAACATGCATTTCAGATTAGAAGGAAAAATTTTGAAAAAATTTTTTATTTTTATTGGCTTTTTATTCTTTAGTGAAGTGACTACTCATGACCCTTGCCCATTTTTCCATTCTCATTTGTAGAAGAATATGGATGTCATACATACTAACCTTTAGTTACGTACATTTCAAACATTTATTTTGATGTTTATAATACTTAATATGGCTTTTTAATTACATGATACAGTAATTTACAAGGTTAATGTAGCCCTATCTTTTAATCTTTAGTGTTTTCTGCGTTGTGTTTTGATTACAGAGTCTCATCTCTAAATTAAGATTTTAAAGACAATCTACTCACTTCATCTAATACTTTTAACTTTTTTTTTTCAGACCTTCATCTTTATCTATTTTTTTTTCTTAACAAGCCTTTAGGGTTTCTATTGGAACTGCAGTGAATTAATAAATTTGGGCATAAATTGACACTATTAGAATGCCGAGTCCTTCTAAAGAGCAGTACAGCATTCCCTCATTTTATTTCAGTCAGGTCTTCTTTTATTTCCTTCAGTAAAGTTTCAAGCACGTACACACATGTGTGTCTGCGTATATATCCTGCTATAGATTTCTTGTCAGGATAAAAGATTTAACGGGTTTTGAAGAAATTCTAAATAAAATCTATTGCTACAATCTAAGGAAACTATTGATTTTTATGCATTTATCTTATATGGTACCAATGTAATGAATTCTTACTACCTGAGCAATCTTTCTGTTGATTTTCTTGAATTTTCTGGTAAATAATCATACCCCTGCTAATTAGAATTCTGCCCCTTCCACTAATTTATAGATAAATTTTTAAAAATTCATATTAATTTATATATAAATTTTTTTAAAGAACAAGAAAAATTAATGTGGATAAAACAGACATTAAGTGAATATAAGAACAAAAAACAGTTTTATTTAATTAAACCAAGAATAAGTTTAATTTGAAAAAAAACAATAAAGGAAGAACCTATTTTAGAAAATTCATTTAATCACATTGTTCAGAACCTCCAAATTACTGAACAAAAAGGATACTAGACATCTTACTTTTCATATTAATGAGATCATAATAGATATTCTTAAGAAATTCTATTCTACTCTATTCCAGCTTTCTAAGAGTTTTTAGGAAGCATACCAATTAAAATACATCACATGCTTTTTAATCACATATTGCAACAATATTGTTTTTCTTGTCTTATCAATTAATACAATAAATTAATATACTACCTAATGTTAAATCACTCCTATATTCCTTAATCATATTTTTTAGCACATTTCTATACTTTTCAGACTTTATTTACAATTTCTGTATCTGTATCACAAAGTGAAATTGATGTATTGCACTTTTTTTTAAAGGCTGTTTGTTTTTTTTAAAGATTGGCACCTGAGCTAACATCTGTTGCCAATCTTCTTCTTTTTCTTCTTCTTCTCCCCAAAGGACCCCTAGTACGTAGTTGTATATTCTAGTTGTGAGTGCCTCTGGTTGTGCCATGTGGGACGCCGCCTCAGCATGGCCTGATGAGCAGTGCCATGTCCACGCCTGGGATCTGAACCAGCAAACTCTGGGCCGCCGAAGCCAAGCACGTGAACTTAACCACTCAGCCATGAGGCCAGCCCCCTGCATTCTTTTTTTGTGTTAATATTTTATTATCAGCAATCTCATGGAATAAACAGGGAAGCCTATTCTATCTTTTTCTTTATTAAAAATGTTTGAAATAGCAGGAAACTTCTGCTCTTTGGAAACAGAACACAGCGATGAAACCATCTGAGCCTAGCGCCTCTGGGGCAAAGGGATTACACTGGGAAAATATTATCTTTCAGATTTTATGATTGTCTTATCTCTTCTTGGGTCAAGTTTGCAAATTTATAGCTTGGATCACTGTCTGTTTTCAATACATTTTTATTCACAATATAAAATTATACACACTATTTTATAATTTCAAAATTTTCATCACCTGTGGCAGTTCCTACTTTTCACTTGTAACATCATATTGTCTTACTGTTTCTTAATCAGACTTGTCTGTATTTTCTCATTGTTTCTTAATCAGACTTGTTCTATTTTACTGGTTTTTTCAAATTAAACTTATTCTTGGTTTAATCAAGTAAAACTGTTTCTTGCTTTTATATTCATTTAATGTCTATTCTATCCATATTACTTTCTCCCATTCTTTAAAAAAAATTCTCAAAGCTAATGTTTAATCAATTTATTTCCCCTTTTTCTTGTTTTCTAATTATACAATGCCTTCAGCATCACTTTGTCCTAAAACCAAAGATTTTGATATGCAGATTTTCATTGTGGTTCGTGACTGTAATTTCAGTTTTGATCTCCCTTCAGCCACAGGACACTTAGAAAAGTACCTCAAATTTCCACATTTTTAAGCTATCTTTTCTGTTAATGTGATTTTAGTTTTATTGTGCGATCACAGAACCTAATCTCTTAGTTATTATTACATTTTGAATGTTAAGATATTCTTCATACCCTAATACATGCTCAATTTTTATTAATCTTCCATGAACATTTAAAAATAGATCACCCTTCTTAAGCATTCTTATGTCTTCTGCATTAACCATTTCTTCAGAGGATTACGATTTCTTTGCTCAACTTCGTGCTTCTCTTTCACACTACAAGTTTTCCTCAAATACGTGGAGATTCTTGCTAATCTATTCATATTTGTAAAGAAGAACACAGTGATCAGTTCAAACTGAAGATAGGTTTCCTCTAAACTACTAAGGCAGTAAATGTGTTTAGACTACAAACATGGGCTTATGGTGAAGGAGCAGGAGACCTTTGGTGTACGAGTCAAGTCCAAAGGAAGCTGGGGTACTGTCTTGCTCTCTTTGTCATCAGTGCTCAAACCAGGAGCCTTCAAATACAGAACCCTCTCATCACACACACGCCTTATTACAAAGGTGTTTTCTGCCCATAGTAGCCTAAGAGTTACAAGCCGTAACTGTTCTGTGATTGGCCCACTTTTGGCAATCTTTCAACTGTTTACTATGAGCCCACTATTACTGACTTGGGACTCTGGGTTTTTCTGACGTTCTACTGGAAACAGCAGTACTCATCTCCTTCATGTCACACTACTATAAGTCCAATGAAGGGAGGGGACACCTGTCTTTTTCATTTATAATATCAGTATCACCTAACACCTATCATTAGTGCCTGGTATTAAATAAATATGAATGAATGCATATTTGATTTTGCTGTCAATTTGATGTCACTGACTTTATGGAATTTATGGAAAGTCCTCAAATTTCTAGTCCATTGATAAAGCACCTCTGCTACTGCTCTGCCTTCTTTATCATTTTTATGTCATTGCAATGAGATTCTGAAAATGAGAAGTAAGCAAATGTGCTTAGTTAACTATTTTGAAGCACGTGTAGATACACTCCCTAGAGTCTGATTTACTGTGGCACTTATCACTCACACTCAAAATTCAGCTCCTATTTTATAGTTTCCCAATTAAAAATTACACAATACCCAAACTAATGGGTTCCTAATATTCTATAAGTCCTACTATAAGCTACAAATGAATATTTATAATCATTAATATCAGTAAGAAAGACAAACCAGAACATATTAAATAAATCTATTATTTTTTTTTTAAATAAACAGCTTTTGTTTCTTACCTGGCCAGTACTGAAGATCTGAACAAATGCTTTTAAGAGTTCTTGAATGTTGTCTATACAAGCAAGAGGAACGTAAAGTACCAAACATATCTAAGTAACCTGGAGAGAAATTGCACAAAGTGAATTTCCCAATGGCCAAACCAAATGTGGGGTGGGTGAAATCATATGGAATATAACAATTTTACCAAATATTAAAAAGACACAAAATACAAGTTTTGCCTCTTATTTGTCCATATATGACTCTGCTTTTAGAAATATCTAAAAACACTGCTAATCTAATTACAGTTCTTCATCACTTTACTGTCTATCACTTGTTTGTGAGATTCTCTCTTTTATCTGATATACGAATATAGCTGACAAGGAAATGAAATTCAAATTAAGAGGTAAAAAATATATATGTTTAGCTAAAGTTACTTTTAGTTAAGAGCATAAAGAGACAAAAGAATTGCTATTTCCTAGAGACAATTTCAAAAACTCTAATGAACAATGTGATAAAACACTGCAAACCAGAGGTCTTCCATAGTCATTGGGTACAAAGAACGTTCCTTCCGTAGCTGGAGGCCACGAATAGTTCAGTAATCCTTCCTAATTCCCACTCTTGACTAATAGGCCCCATTTTAGGTTACACCCGTGACCCCAGGGAAAAGGCAGGCAACAAAAATAGACACTGGTTCTCATCTATCCTTATATTACAGTTAGGATTCAGGGATTTTTCTAAGAACCCTTACGGTCAAGTCAAGAAGCCCCTTCTTAATATCTCTGTCTGCCTAAGCCAAGAAAACGGCTGGCAGTAAGAGGAACAACCTTAAAAGAAAATGTAATGTGCAGCCCAGAAGAGCAATAGTAATGATAACACTATAATAATAATGATAGTAACAAAAATTTTACTCTCCTGAATACTTACTATGGACCACGTACTTTACTTAGACTATTTCATTTGATCCTCCAACGTGAGATAAGGAGTTACTCCCCACACTTCACATGAGAAAACAACCATTTAGAGAAAGAAAGTGAATCCCATAGTCACTGGGGGCAGGACTGAGTTTGGTCCTAGTCTCCTCCTCACTCTAAACCACTAAGGGCTCCCCTCAGGAAGGAGGGAGCGTAGCATAAAAAATAATAAAATGAAAGCAGATTTTTAAAATTAGAAATGAGAGAGGAGAAATCACAACAGATACCAAAGAAATACAAAGGATCATAAAAGAATACTATGAAAAACTATATGCCAACAAATTGAACAACCTAGAAGAAATGGATAAATTCCTAGACTCATACAACCTCCCCAAACTGAATCAGAAGAAATAGAGAATCTGAATAGACCAATCACAAGTAAAGAAATAGAAACAGTAATCAAAAACCTCTCCCAAAATAAGAGTCCACGACCAGACGGCTTCTCTGGAGAAGTCTACCAAACATTCAAAGAAGATTTAATACCTATCCTTCTCAAACTATTCCAGAAAAGAGAGGAAGATGGGCACTCCCTAATACATTCTATGAAGCCAACATCACCCTGATCTCCAAACCTGACAAGGACAGCACAAAGAAGGAAAACTACAGGCCAATATCACTGATGAACATAGATGCAAAAATCCTCAACAAAATTTTGGCAAACCGAATACAGCAATACATCAAAAAGAGTATACACCATGATCAAGTGGGATTTATACCAGGGACACAGGGATGGTTCAACATCTGCAAGTCAATCAACGTGATACACTACATTAACAAAATGAGAAACAAAAACCACATGATCATCTCAATAGATGCAGAGAAAGCATTCGACAAGATCCAACATCCATTTATGATAAAAACCTCAATAAAATAGGTCTAGAAGGAAAGTACCTCAACATAATAAAGGCCATATATGGCAAACCCACAGCCAACATCATACTCAACGGACAAAAACTGAAACCCATCCCTCTCAGAACAGGAACAAGACAAGGGTGCCCACTTTCACCACTCTTATTCAACATAGTACTGGAGGTTTTGGCCAGAGCAATTCGGCAGGAAAAAGAAGTAAAAGGAATCCAAATAGGCAACGAAGAAGTAAAACTCTCGCTGTTTGCAGACGACATGATCTTATATATAGAAAACCCCAAAGAATCCTTAGAAACTGTAGAACAATCAACAGCTACAGCAAAGTTGCAGGGTACAAAATCAACATACATAAATCAGTAGCATTTCTATACGCTAACAATGAACTAACAGAAAAAGATCTCAAGAACTCAATCCCATTCATAATTGCAACGAAAAGGATAAAATACCTTGGGATAAATTTAACCAAGGAAGTGAAAGATCTATACGATGAAAACTACAAGACTTTCTTGAAACAAATCGATGACGACATAAAGAGATGGAAAGACATTCCATGCACATGGATGGAAGAATAAACATAGTTAAAATGTCCATACTACCTAAAGCAATCTACAGATTCAACGCTATCCCAATCAGAATTCCAGACATTTGACAGAATTCTAATTCATATGGGGCAAGAAAAGACCCCAAATTGCTAAAGCAATCCTGAGAAAGAAGAACAAAGCTGGAGGCATCACAATCCCTGACTTCAAAACATACCACAAAGCTACAGTAATCAAAACAGCATGGTACTGGTACAAAAACAGATGCACAGATCAATGGAACAGAATTGAAAGCCCAGAAATAAAACCACACATCTATGGACAGCTAATCTTCGAGAAAGGAGCTGAGGGCCTACAATGGAGAAAAGAAAGTCTCTTCAACAAGTGGTGCTGGGAAAACTGGACAGCCACATGTAAAAGAATGAAAGTCAACCATTCTTTTTCACCATTCAGTAAAATAAACTCAAAATGGATCAAAGACCTAAAGATTAGGCCTGAAACAATAAGTCTTTCTAGAAGAGAATATAGGCAGTACACTCTTTGACATCAGCTTCAAAAGAATCTTTTCAGACACCATAACCCCTCAGATGAGGGAAACAATAGAAAGAATAAACAAATGGGACTTCATCAGACTAAAGAGCTTCTTCAAGGCAAGAGAAAACAGGATTGAAACAAAAAAATAGCCCACTAATTGGGAAAAAATATTTACAAGTTATTTATCTGACAAAGGGTTAATCTCCATAATATATAAAGAACTCACACAGCTCAACAACAAAAAAATCAAACCAAACAAAAAAATCAAACAAAATGGGCAGGGGACATGAACAGATATTTCTCCAAAGAAGATATACGATGGCCAATAGACACATGAAAAGATGCTCATCATCACTAATCATGAGGGAAATGCAAATCAAAAACTACACTAAGATATCACCTTACACCTGTTAGAATGGCAAAAATATCCAAAACCAAGAGTGACAAACGTTGGAGAGGCTGTGCAGAAAAAGGAACCCTCATACACTGTTGGTGGGAATGCAAACTGGTGCAGCCACTATGGAAAACAGTATGGAGATTTCTCAAAAAGTTAAAAATAGAAATACCTTATGACCCATCCATCCCACTACTGGGTATCTACTCTAAGAACCTGAAATCAGCAATTCCAAAAGTCCCATGCACCCCTATGTTCATTGCAGCATTATTCACAATAGCCAAATCATGGAACAAACCTAAGTGCCCAGCAACCGATGACTGGATAAAGAAGATAGGGTACATATATACAATGGAATACTACTCAGCCATAAAAAAGGACAAAGTCGTCCCATTCACAACAACATGGACAGACCTTGAGGGTATTATGTTGAGTGAAATAAGCCAGACCGAGAAAGACGAACTCTGTATGACTCCACTCATAGGTGGTAGTTAACATATAGACAAAGAGAACTGATCAGTGGTTACCAGGGTTGGGGGAGGGCACTAGGGGTCAAGTGGTGTACCTACAACATGACTAATAATGATGTACAACTGTAATTTCACAAGGTTGTTAACTATCATAATCTTAATAAAAAAAAAATGAAAGCAGACTTTTAATCCAAGCTCAAAAACTTTTTTCTCACTCTTGAATTCTTTATTTATCCAAAAGAAGAATGAAGAATTAGTAAATGAATTAAGTTTATACAAAGTACAGCTTCAAATCAAACCTTTGTCACAAAACTATTCAAACTTGCTCTATTATTCCCGGGCTTCTACAGCTTACATTGATTAAAAAAATCTCTCCTTTCATCAGCATAAAACAAGTATTTTGATAAGCCTCTAAAATTCCTTAAGTACCACCCAAAAAGAAACTCACGCAGCTGACGTTCCTTTCAAACAAACTGCCTACTTATTATAATACTAGATCATTATAAGATTCAAATAAGAAAATTCAAATAAGAAAAGACATTCTATAAAATAAGGGACTATGACTGTTTCTTCAATGTATTCCTAGAGATTAGTATGTTACCTGGAATCCAATAAATGTTTGTCATCTAAAATTTAAAAAAAAAAACAACAACCCACAACACTCCCTATTCTAAACACTATGTAGTATCCTGTACTAGATCCTGGAACAGAAAATGGACCCTAGCGGAAAAACTAGTGATTTGGAGAAATTAACTTTTATTTTGTAAAATCTAGATAAAGTCTATAGTTTAGTTAAAAGTACTATACCGATGTTAATTTCTTAGTTTTGACAAATGTACCATGGTTCTATAAGTAGTTAACATTAGGGGAGGCCAGACAAAGAGTATACAGGAACTCTCTGTACTACCTTTGCAACTTCTCTGTAAATCTACAATTCTTCCAATATGAACAGTGACCCCAAAAACAAAAAGAACTCAGAAAAGAACCTGGCACATAGTAGATGTTAATAAATGGTATCTATCAGAATTATTAATAGCATTAAAATGGCTTATTTTTAATTGGAAGAAAAAATATATTGACTTACCATATTTATTTTCAAAGAAGGACTGTGCAGAGACATGAGACGTATGCCAATGGGAAGAAACGTTTTTGCCTTTGCAAAATCCAGGAAGTAGACTGTCTACCAGTTGATCAATCTGTCCAACTTTTAACTCAGATAATCCAAGGTCTCTCAAGTTCACTACAGCCTGTAACAGAATCCGCCCAAGTAAGCAGTTTTATCAAGGTATTTAACTTAAAGAGTTATCATCAGTTGAAACAATATGGATTTTTAAAAATCCAACAAATGTACTGATTTCCCTTTTCTAATATTTAAAAAATAAGTTGGTACAAATATTTTTATAATTCTAGTTTTACTGAGGTTTGTCATATGAGGTTTGACAAAGGTGAAAAAATCCTATTCCCAATGGTATCACCAGTCCACGGAGATTTAAAGCTTCCTCCAGTCCCTACTGCCCATAGGCAGAAGCCCATTTGATAGAGAAAGGGTATGCTCTGTCACCACAGGACATCTCACTCTTCGGGCCTCAGTGTTGAGATCCTTCTTTGAACTGAGAGGCTCTATAGTTACCTATCTCTAACTTCAACTAAGGAGGGAAACTGAACAAGGTCAAAATGTGTGCAAACCAGGCAAGAAAATGCACTCACCTTGAAACAGTTCTAAAGTAACTAAAATTGGATTGAGGTGAGTTATTTTCTTGTCCACATGAGCTGATAGGAAAACACTAAAGACCGGTAACAATTACAAGCCCCAAACAGCTAGAACTTGAAGCAAGGAGAGCAAAAACAGAGTTAAGTAATGTAACAACTTCTTACGGTGGATGTAAAGTTACATCCACAGATTTTATAGCTGTGGATTGACATTCAGGGGTTTTGTCACTTCCTAAGCTTTGTGAGAAGTCATTCATATTCTTAGAATCCATTTCCTCACCAGTAAAATGAGGACGAAATACGCCCTGCCTATTTCACAACGAGATAGTATGGGTCAACGGAAGACATCATGCCTTCCTCACCTGTGTATCCTAACATATGTAGTGAGATAGTTAGAGGCATGATGAAAGCAAATACTTAAAAGTGCTTTGTAAACTTCTAAAAATTATTCAGTGTAAAGGATATTATTATAATGGAAACAGAAGGACTGAAATATTCAAGAGCAACTTTTCAACAGTTATCTTTTAAAATGGGAAACCTAAAAGTCTGTTTACAATACATAGACTTCAAAAGAGAAATACAGAGTCTTAACTAAGAAAGAGAATGACTCCCCTTACTGATTGGGTGTCAGGTCCTTGGACCATAAAAGCATGGTAAATACACTACATGGTAACTACCATTACAGAGACATAAAAACAAGTGGTGAGAGAAACACGGAACACAGAGCAACTAATTTCCTAAATAGGATGAGGCTTCACTGAGGTAACAACTAATTAGCAAAATGCTGGGGGAGGAAGCCTTGTGGAAGGGGGCAAAGAAGAAGTCATCAAAGGGCCGGGAATGTTTGAGATGTAGTAAAAAGTTTAGTGACGGAAGAAGGGACTAGGAAGACAGGCTATGGACAAATTGTGAAGAGCACTGTTTGAATTTAATTCTAGAGCTAATAAGATTAGTTTTGTTTGATAGAAAGAAAATAGAAGATAAAGAAGATACGCTGGATAGAAGAAGAGAAAAATGGTCTGAGGCTGAACTAAACCCTAACTAAGAAGGATGGAAATAACAAATCACAGACAGCAGACATTTGAAGAAACGGGCAGAGTAAGAGAGATGGGAGGGAGAAGGGTGCTGGATGGATGTGCTGGTTTTCGATTGTTGTCTCTCAGCTCCTATTCATCCCTCTTGTTGCCATGAACACGGATGTGGGCCCTTTAAGTATTTTTCCTTTGCCAGCTGGCACGATGTCAAGCTGTGTCAGTAGAGGGCACTCGAGAGACACTGCAGGAGGAAAGAGGGTTTGTTCCTGGTTCTAGAGTGCTCACTCAGCGAGCTCCTGTCTGCAGCACCCAGGGTTTCTCCAGCATCTGGCTCCTGCAGCTTGTGCAGCTTCTCCAAAGCCTGGCTCCTGCAGCGCAGTGACCGGCAGTACCCAGCAGCTTCCCATGGCACCACTCCTTCACCGGGCAGTTTTGGAGCAGTTTTTCCAGTAAGACACACGCCCGTGAACAGCTTTCCCTGGTACCCGAGGGGGCAGATCTCCATCAAGTTCAGCTGGCGTGGCACCAGCAGTGACTTCCCTGCCATTCAGTGAGCCAAGGCCATGCCCTCCCCCACAAGATCAGGACCTCAGCCCGAGGGAGGAGAACTCTTCCTGGGATGCTCCATCTCAGTCTGAGGAGGATTAGCTGTTCCTGGAATCTGCTCGTCTTATATGAATTTTAGAGTTTTCTTTACTTATTACTAGCCAATCTATACTTATTCCAATCCTCTGTAAAAATATAGTTGTTTAAATAATAAACTAAAAAGTTATACTAATTTTTTACACTAAATTTTCATTGTTCAAATAACTATGTGGTTTCTTTCTCCCAGTTAGACCCAGACCAATAAAAAGGGGCTGAAACCGCTTTAAGATTAAATATACTGGAATCTGGGGGAGTAGCTCAGTTTCAGACATCTTAATTTTGAGGTCCCTGGAGCCTGTCTAGAGGGACATTTTAACAAGCCACTAGATAAATTACTTTAAAACTTTAGAGAGACTTTAGGTTTGAGATATATTTGGGAGTTAGCAGAACAAAGATATATAAACGTTATGTGAAGATATGAAAACGGGTAACATAACCTGGGAGACTGTGCATAACGAATATTAGATTAAGGATAAATGCACAGTACACTCAATATTTAAGGGGTTGGCCACAAAAAAGGCCAGCGAAACAGAAAGAGAAAAAAATCAGCAATATAACTTCACTCAACTTAAGAGTATTTTGAAAGTAGTGGATGTTCAGCAAGATCAAATGCTAAGGAAAAGTTGAAAAAAGACGTGAATTTTTTAAAAGGCCTATACTTAGTATTAAGGAAATCAACAAAATATAGCAAAATAAGTCTGTAAAATGGTAAAAGTAGTAGCCAAACTACAATGGGATGTAGTGTGAACGAAAGTTTTGCAGGTACAGTTCTAAGTTCAGAGTATCTTTTTCAAGCACTCTGAAAGCAAAGGGAAAAGAAGTCAGTAGCTTGAAGGAAGCTGAAAGGAAGATTTTTTACTTGCACTGTGGAGCGGATGTTTGAATGAGCAAGACCTGATGAGAGCAAAGTCGCCACACAGCAAAGGGAGTGAGAGGAGAGATGAGGTAGGATGCTTAAGGAGAGTGAAATGTTTGTGAAGCAATAACGAGCAGTCAGTGAAGACAAGAGTAAGGCTAGTGAGGGTACATCAGAGGTAAAGAACACCACTTCTGTCTTTGAGACCATTACTCTTATGCTTCACACAGGCTTCTAGAATTTAGCTACTTTTCAAGCCCCAAAATGTACTTCACTACTGACCCAGCAATTTTAAAGATTTAGCAACACAAACGGTAAAAGTGGTGCTCTCTATAGCAACAAAAAATTGAAACAATATCCAAGAAAGGGACATCATACCCAACATTTTGAAGTCATTAAAAACATAGAAAACGACATAAGTTCACAAAACTTTTAAATGAACAAAGCAGAATCTAAATCAGCATATAGAGCATGATCCAATTATTATAAAATATAAAACTACAAGAGAAAAAAGAGAAATGAAATATAAATACAAAGGTTAATAGCATTATCCCTGAGAAACAGGATCACAGGTGAATTTCTTCTACCTACATAATACTTGCCAAAATTTCTAACATGTACATAGTTTTGCTGCATGTAGCAATCTTGATACATGTAGCATTTTCATGAGGAAAGCTCTCTTCATGAGGAAAGCTCTCTTAGACCGTAACTTGTAACTTCGGAGAAAGGTGTCACGACAGCAGAAAGACAATGGCTACAGAAAGAGGCAACAGGAACTGGGCAGAAAGTATAAATAGGAAGCATAAAAATGACAAAGACAAACCTTTCAGCTAGTTAAAATTTTATCCTAAGACAGCCCCCACAAACCCGCCCCCAAAGTGAACTTTTGTCCAACTCCTCCACTCTCCTTTGCTATAGCCCCTGATGTCAGGACTAACAATATAAACTACTTATGGGCTAAAGAGGCTTTGGGGAAACTTAACTATAGATTATGATGTTTTCTATGAAAAATGTCTTCTGAGCTACAAGCAACTATCTTATTAAGGAACTGTATAAACACAAAGGCTCCTAGGCTGGGAATTCCCTACTATCCTAGGCAACACTGATTTTAGAATTCTCTGAGTACCGAAAGTATATTTTCATAGCTTAGACATTTCACTTTCCGGTTCCTATGTGCTAATTGTTCAGCTACAGTGAAAGCTCCCATAAGGTGGTAGATGACAACTTCTTACTTTTCTATCTTCCCTGAGACTGGGAAGGCAATCTTGGTCATTAACTGCGGGTTCACTGCTACTGTGAGATGAACACGAAAGAGTATCTAAGTGGTATCATTCGAGTAGTAATCTAGGAAGTGAATACCAAATATACCGCCACATGAAAATTTTTATAGATTAAATGTTAAAGAATAAAACCAACTTTTATCACCTTACCCCCATCAGAATGGCTATAATCAACAAGACAAAAAAAATAACAAATGTTGGAGAGGATGTGGAGAAAAGGGAACCCTCATACACTACTGGTGGGAATGAAACTGGTGGAGCCACTACTGGAAACAGTATGGAGATGTCTCAAAAAATTAAACATAGAAATACCATACAACCAAGCTATCTTATTACTGGGTATTTATCCAAAGAACTTGAAATCAACAATTCAAAGAGACTTAGGTACTCCTACGCCCATTGCAGCATTATTCACAACAGCCAAGACGTGGAAGCAACCCAAGTGCCCACTGACTGATGAATGGATAAAGAAGATGTGGTATATATACACAATGGAATACTATTCAGCCATAAAAAAAAGATGAAATGGTCCCATTCACAACCACACGGCTGGACTCTGAGGGTATTGTGTTAAGCAACATAACCCAGACGGAGAAAGACAAACACTGTATGATTTCATTCATACGTAGAAGATAAACTAACACATGCACAAAGAGAATAGTCTCGTGGTTACCAGAGGGGAAGGGGGTTAGGGGGTGGGCATAAGGGGTAAAGGGACACATTTATATGATGACTGGCAAATAATAATGTACAACTGAAATTTCACAATGTTATAAACCAGTATGACCTCAATAAAATTTTTTTTTAAAAACTAACTTTTCTATATGTAAAATAAAGCCAGAATTAGACATCTTTAATAATGTAACAAACTAAGCTAAAGACCGAAATCACCTTGTTCCAAATAGCTAAACACAGAAAGATCTTTCAAACATGTTTACGATGTACTAAATCAAAAAGGGTTTGTCACACAACCAGGGGAAAAGCTATTACCTCACTGCTGGGAGCCTCACGCTCAGGAACTGCATCTCGATGATGGTTTTGTGAAACGGATGCACTGAGAGAAATAAACGTGGTTTTAGGTGACTGAAAGGCATTGATGAGATGACTCAGAGGAACTGTAACCTAGAAGAAGATAAAAGTTGAAATTAAGAGTGTATTTAAAAAAAAACAACAGAAAAAAATTTTTTTGTCAGGATTTGGGATGTTTAAAAAGTTACATACACTGTATATCAAAACTATATATTAAAAATTGTAAATACTCAGATTTATTGCTGGCAGGAAGACAACCGGGTATATTCTTTCAGGATAGTATTCTGGCTATATGAATCAAAAGTATTAAGAATACAGTCATGCGCTGAATGATGACGTTTCGTGGAGGATGGACCACATATACCATGGTAGTCCCAGAAGATTAGTACCATATAGCCTAGGTGTGTAGCAGGCTGTACTATCTAGGTTTGTGTAAGTCACTCTATGATGTTTGCACAATGACGAAATCACCTAACAATGCATTTCTCAGACAGTATCCTTGTTAAGTGACACATGACTGTATACATATTTCGTTGTCCCAGCAATCTAATTTCTAGGAATTTATTCTAAGGAAGTAACCTGATTAAGTGCTTGCCTACACGTAGATGACAATTTTTATCAAAACATTTTACAATTAGTGGAAAGCTAGAAATGTCCACCGTTAGAGGAGTGGCTAAATAAATGATACCACCACAAAATGAAATATCTCACAGACTTTTTAAAAAAGTAAGCATATATCCAGAACCTTAGACTTAGCCTCCCCACTGCACCATCCTGTTCTAAGTCACCGCCATCTAATCTATATGTGGATTTTTGCAACAGCCTCCTGACTATTCTCCCTGCGCCTGCGCCATTAAAACCAAAGTCCAATGACATCACTCCTCTGCTCAAAACCCTTCAACGGCTTCTCTTCCCACTCACAGTAAAAGCCGAAGTCCTAACAACCAGGACAGAGAAAGCCCTCCGTGGCTCTTTACTCCACCTCCTAATCTATCCACCACTACACTCCCCTTCATTCTCTCCGCTCTGGCCCCACTGATCTCCTTGCTGCTCCTGGAACACACCTGGCAGGCCCTCACCTCAAGGCCTTGGGACTGCCGTTGATTCCCTCTCGCCCAGTTAGTAACACAGCCTGCTTTCAAACTCCCTTCAGTTCTTAACTTAAAAGTCATCTTTTCATGAGTCTTTTCCCTAGCCACCCTATTTCATTTTTCAACAACCCTCCTCTAAAAAATATTCCTTATCCCCCTTTTCTGCTCTATTTTCTTAAAGATTGGCACGTAAGCTAACAACTGTTGCCAATTTTTTTAATTATTATTATTCCCAAATCCCCCCAGTACATAGTTGTATATTCTAGTTGTGGCATGTGGGACACCATCCCAGCATGGCCCGACAAGCGGTGCCACGTCCATGCCCAGGATCCAAACCCGTGAAACCCTGGGCGGCCAAAGTGGAGCATGCGAACTCAACCACTTGGCCACCGGGCTGGCCCCTCTGCTCTATTTTTTTCTTGACACTTTGACTATCTAATACACTTTATATATTTACTTATTTATCTATGTATTGTCATCTGTCTCTCTCATCCCATTTTGTGACGCCAACTGGGTGTCCAAAAGTTCAATTCAATTGACACCAAGTACCCAGAGGCTAAGAGCTCAGCCTCACAAGCCTGATCCCATTTCAGATGCCATACAAAAGTCCCAGGCCACCCATACTTCTAATCTACCAGACAGATATAAATCAGGGTTTCCTACAACCTCCTCCTAAGGTTCAATAATTTGCTAGAACAGCTAAAAGAATTAAGGAAAATACTTTACTTAAGGGAACATATGCCTCAGCATAATAAGGCCATATACGACACAGCGAACATCATACTCAGTGGTGAAAAGCTAAAAAGCCAAAAGCTTTTCCTCTAAGATCAGGAACAAGGCAATCTTGACACTTTCATTCAACACAGTATTTGAAGTCCTAACCAGAGCAATTAGGTAAGAAAAAAAATAAAACGCATCCATATTGGAAAGGAAAAAGTAAAACTGTCACTATTTGTAGATGACATGATATTATACATAGAACACCCTGAAGAAGCCATCAAAAACTGTAAGAACTAATAAACAAATTCAGTAAAGCTGTAGGATACAAAATCAATACACAAAAATCTGTTGTGTTTCTATATGCTAACGACAAAATATCAGAAAGAGAAATAAAAGAAAACCCCATTTACAATTGCATCAAAAAGAATAAAATACCTAGGAGTAAATTTAAGACAGGAGATGAAAGACCTGTGTACTAAAAACTACAAGACATTAATGAAAGAAATTGAAGACACAAATAATTGGAAAGATATTCCGTGCTCATAGATTAGAAGAATCACTATTGTTCAAATATCCATACTACTCAAAGCCATTATCGCTTCAATGCAATCCCTATCTAAATTCCAATGGCATTTTTCAAAGAAATAGAACAAATAATCCTAAAATTTGTGTGGAATCACAAAAAACCGCAAATAGCCAAAGCAACCTTGAGAAAGAAGAACAAAACTGAAAGCATCACACTCCCTGATTTCAAACTCTACTACAAAGCTGCAGTAATTAAAACATATGGCAATGGAACAGAATAGAGAGCCCAGAAATAAACCCACACATATATGGTCAATTCATTTACAACAAAAGAGCCAAGAATATACACCGGGGAAAGGACAGTCTCTGTCCTTAAATGACGTTGAGAAAACTGGACAGCCACATGCAAAAGAATGAAACTCAACCACTATTTTAGACCATACACAAAAATTAACTCAAAATGGATTAAAGATGAGGCCGGCCCCATGGCCTAGTGGTTAAGTTCAGCATGACCCACTTCCCTTGCCCAGGTTCAGTTCCTGGGCCGGACCTATACTACTAGTAGCAGCCATGCTGTGGTGGCAACCCACATACAAAAGAGAGGAAGAGTGGCACAGATGTTAGTTACTGCAGGGACAATCTTCCTCAAGCAAAAAGAGGAAGATTGGCAGCTCACGGCAAAATCTTCCTCAGCAAAAAAAAAAAAAAAAGGATTACAGACTTGAACATAAGACCTAAAACCATAAAACTCCTAGAAGAAAACACAGGCAGTAAGCTCCTTGACATGTGTCTCGGCAAGATTTTTTGAATCTTGACACCAAAAGCAAAAGCAACAAAAGTAAAAATAAAGACGTGGGATTATACAATACTAAAAAGCTTCTGCACAGCAAAGGCCACCACCAACAAAACGAAAAGGCAACTTACTAAACGGGAGAAAATATTTGTAGATCATATATCTGATAACAGGCTCACATCCAGAATATATAAAGAACTCATACAACTCAATGACAAAAAAAAAAAAAAGTCTCATTAAAAAACAGGCAGAAAATCTGAACAGATAATTTTCCAAAGACATACAAAATGGCCAAAATGTTCATGAAAAGATGTTCAACATCATTAATTATCAGGGAAATGTGAATCAAAACCCAAAATGAGCTATCATCTTACATCTGTTAGGCTGGCTATTACCAAAAAGATGAGAAATAATAAGTGTTGGCAAGGATGTTAAGAAAACGGAACCCTAGTGTACTGTTGGTGGGAAGGTAAACTGGTGTAGTCACTATGGAAAACAGTATGGAAATTCCTCAAAAAATTAAAAATAGAACTGTCATATGATTCAGGAATTCCACTTTTAGGTCTTTACCCCCAAAAAAACCCAAAAACATTAACTTGAAAAGATATATGCATCCCCATGTTCGTTGCAGCATTATTTACAATAGCCAAGATATGGAAACAACCTAAGCATCAATCGATGGATGAATGGATAAAGAAAATCTGGTATACACACACAATGGAATATTGTCCAGCCATAAAAAAGTATGAAACCTTGCCATGTGCAACAACATGGATGGACCTCAAGAACATTATGCTAAGTGAAATATATCAGACAGAGAAACACTAATACCATATGTTCTCTCTTATACGTGAAATCTCAAAAAACAATAACAAAAAAGCTCATAGATACAGCAAACAGATTAGTGGTTGCCAGAGGCGGGGGCAGTGGAGAGTGGGAGAAATAAGGGGGTCAAAAGGTAAAAAATAAATAAAATTTTAAAAAATAAATAAAACACTTCAACTTGTGCATTAAAGTTTAGTCACCTCTTAAAAAAAAGGTGCCACACAGTAGGTGCTAAAAAATAAATATGCTATATAAGATGATTATTTTGGCATCGAGCACTGGATGAGACACTGTGTTAACTAGTTTCTACTCACCTATTATTCCCTACAGTACTTTGAAGTAGTTTATTATTATTATTATTATTTTATTACAGATGAGAAGACTAAGAAGGCTCTGAGAGGTTTAGTGACTTGCCATGGTCACACAACTAATAATCAGTGGAGTCAGGATGCAAAATCAGGGATGCCTGATTCTCAAATTCGTAATCTCAACCAGTCTTCTAAACCGACTCAATAAAATGAATTGGGAGTAGAAAAAAACAAAAACAAACAAACAAAAAGTAGTATATCCTTTCTAAAGGGCAATATGGTAACACCTATCAAAATTACAAATGTATTTCCCCTTTGACCCAGGAGTCTCACTCACAAGAATTCATCCCACAGAAATTCATGTAAACATAAAAAATGACACACTATTAAAATCAATAAAAATAAAATTATAGTAACTAGTAGCAAGCACTGAACACATTAAATGCCAGGCATGTGCTGAGCAATGCAAGTGGGGGGAAAAAAAACTTGATCTACATTTACCAGTCTATCATAAAAGAAAGAAATGAACAGCGAGATGAAGAGAGAGGTAGGGCAAGGTCCAGAAGGGTCCCAAGCACAGGAGCTCATATTCCCCCTGGATGTGGAGTGCACCATCCTCCTGCACTGTGAATGTCTGCACTGAATCTCACTGTTTAAGAGTTTTTACAGAGCTCCATCTCCAGGCAGCTCCCCAGCCCACGAGGCTGGGGGGGTCAGGGCTGAGAATTCCCACGTTCTAACCACCAGGTCTTTCTGGTGACCAGCTCAATCCTGAGACCCTACTTAAGTCACCCCATTCACATAAATTTAGGCGTGATCCAAAGGGATGCCTTGTAAATAACAAGACTCTCATCACTCAGGAAATTCCAAGGGTTTTAGAAGCTCTGTGCCAAGAACTGGAAACACAGACCAAATACTTATTTTTTATTTATACCTCACTCTCCCACTCAAATATAAGTTCCATGTGGCAAGGGATTTTTTTCTTTCTTTATTTTATTTTTCTCTATTTTATTTTATATTACTTATATAATTAATACAAAATGTTTTTACATAATGCTTACGTAATTTACATATTTTGTATTATTTTATTTTTTCTCCTTTTCTCTATTTTATTCAATACTGTATCCCAGTGCAACAACAATGCACACAGTAGATACTAAATAAACATCTGTTCAGTAAATGAACAAATTAATGGCTTCCTCCTATATGCTGGATTTTGTACTATGTGCCTTACTTATATTATCTCATTTAATACTCATAACAGTTATAAAAATGAGTTACTATAATCCTCCTATTTAACTGATGAGGACAACAAAGATTTAGATAGGTTTAGTGGCATGTTCAAAGTCACACAGCTAGTAAGAATAGGAGCAAGGATTCCAACCCAGATAACTTAAGATTCCAGTTGAAGACTTTTCATCCTATAGTTATTGATATAGAAGTAAATTCATGATATGTTGTTAAATGAAAACAAGCAGTCTATAAAATTATCTATAACATCTTTTTTTAAAGTATGCATACACATATTTGTGTAGAGATAAAATGTATGAAAGAATTTATTCTAAAATGTGATCTCTCTAGGTAATGAGATTATAGGTAACTTAATTTTCTTATTTATATTTTTCTTTTCAGCATTTTTGGCAATGAGTATGTATTACTTTTAGAGCCAGAAACAATAAGCTCTTTTAAAACTACAGGAGTGAATTTTTTTTATTGAGATCCAACTAATATAACATATAAGTTTCAGGTGTACAACATAATGATTGGATATTTGCTTATTGGGAAATGATCACAATCAGTCTACTTAACATCCATCACCACAGTTACATAATTTCTTTTTCCTGTGATGAGAATTTTTAGATCTACTCTCTTGGCAAATTTCAAATATACAATACAGTCAAGCACCGCATGATGTTTTAGTCAACAATGGACTCCATCTAGGAAGGTGGTTCTATAAGATTAGCACCATATAGCCTAGGTGTGCAGTGGACTATACCATCTAGGTTGTGTAAATAACACTCTGTGATGTTCACAGAACGACCAAATTGCCTAACAATGCATTTCTCAGAAGTGTCCCCGTCGTTAAGCAATGAGTGACGGTTACTAATTATAGTCACCATGCTGTACATTACATCCCCATGACCTATTTATTTTTTTAATTTTTATTTATTTATTTTTTTTAAGATTTTATTTTTTCCTTTTTCTCCCCAAAGCCCCCTGGTACATAGCTGTATATTCTTCGTCGTGGGTCCTTCTAGTTGTGGTATGTGGGACGCTGCCTCAGGGTGGTTTGATGAGCAGTGCCACGTCTGCGCCCAGGATTCGAACCAAGGAAACACTGGGCCACCTGCAGAGGAGCGCGCGAACTTAACCACTCGGCCACGGGGCCAGCCCCCCCATGACCTATTTATTTTATAACTAGAAGTTTGTACCTTTTGACCCTCTTCAACTATTTCACCAACCCCTCACCGTAACCTCTGGCAATCACCAATCTGTTCTCTGTATCTATGAGCTCAGTTTTTAAATTTAATATATTGTCCTGGGGGTTCAGGGGCAGCCAATGGTGTAGCGGCTATGTTCGCTGGTTCGATCCCGGGCTGGGACCTACAAACTGCTCAACAAGCCATGCTGTGGTGGCGTCCTCCATACAAAATAAAAGGAAGACTGGCACAGATGTTAGCTCAGGGCCAATCTTCCTCACCAAAAAAAAATAAATTGTCCTAGGATAGGCGACATATCAGATATTAAACTGATAAGAACAGATACTATCCTTGATCTTAAGCCGAAAGGCGGAGAAGTAATTCAAATTTATTTTAAGATACATATTTTCTGTCTATTCCTTTGAAAAGTTTTATTTTAATCAGTTATCTCTTCTCATTCAAAAAGTATTTAAATGCTAAAAGATAGTTTAATCTCCTCTCAATGAAAATACTCAACTTTTGTCTTTCCTAATTTTACAATTTAAACACCTGTATTCAACCAATTAAGCAACCAGGAATAACAAATGTGTTTACCATGTTTCACAGCATAAAATGCATAAGGATCCTATATGAGCCCAGTTAAGACTGCCTGTACTACACGAAACCCCTTCACCATCTCTACCAAAATCATCTACCACTAACTCTCCACCCAGTTGATAATACAGTCTCCTAAAATGAGGTTTTCTTGATGTGAACTTCCAGAAGTTCAGTTTCAAAAGGTTTAATACTATACTCAACAGGCCAAGTCAGACTTCTTTTCAAACACTTGCTAGGACTCCTCCAGACACTCATTTTGGTAACACCTTCATGCAACCAGCTGGTCAAACCAGAAACATCTCTTTCCATCATCCTTCATATCCAATCTCTTATGAAATTCCAAATCTTTCTTCAAAATAAATCTCGTCCTCTTCTTTCCACAACCATTGCGACCACTTTAGCGGTGCATTACCCCTCTCCTGAACGTGCAATAGCAACCTTAACTGAAAACACTTCCACTCTTACTTACCCTTCCACATTCTCTACACAGCAAGAAGCCAGAGTGATCTTTAAAAAATGTAAATCTGGTCATGTTACTCCATGCTTAAAAGGAATTCAGCGGTTCCCAACATACTTAAAATTAAGACCAAAATCCCTTATGATAACTCCCTGTAAGATCCGCGTCAAGGTTTCTCTCCAACCTCATTTCTGTCATTGCGCCCTGTAATCACTACCCTCTCGCCACACTGGCCTTATTTTTGTTCCTCCAATCGGCTAAACTCTTCCCTATGCTGGAACTCCAGATATCCTTCCGTCTGCCTAGGATACTTGTTCACTTCCCTTCACTCCTCACTTGGCTCTTACTCATCTTTGTCTTCATGTCACCGTTAAGATTTCACCAAATCACCAAAGATTTGCTTTATTCACCTGGCATATTACTGATGTCCAATAAATGACTAACCTTTTTATTTTCTACTATCTAGTCAGTACTAGAAGGGGAAAAAAACCAAGTGAGAGGGGATTACACAAAGGAACATAATTATATGTTTAAACTACAAAACTGTGTCAAAACACTTTTAAGTCTGAATGTTTTCAAAAACCTTTTACATGCAAAACTGAGAACTCTCCCTCCAAAAAACTATCTAAAGGTTACCGTGAAAAAAGATTTTTTGTCACAGCGATTACTCCTGAAACATAATTAAAAACCCTTGGAAACATTTTTCTCCGCCCTCTTTTTGCTTTATAAACAGATGGGGAGGAAGCCGACTCAAAATTTTAACTACAAGTACTCAATAACTTGAAATATATATATGTATCAGTCACTTATGGTCAATAAAAAGAAAGGATTCGTGGTAGATTATTGAAATTATTATAGCAAGTTTGGGTTAAATGCCCTTTAAAGGCAAAGAGATTAGGGGATCGGCGTTATGAATACTAAAGTCTTTGAAGAGGCAAAAAGGAGGAAAGGGAACATTACCCGCTGCCTTTACATCTACAGCAACGATCTCCCCCCGCCCACCCCAGAATGTCCGGCGTTGAACAATGCCTGGTGGACTCTCTAGCAAAAAATTCCACGCAATCAACTCGAAAAGCCAAGGTCTCCATCACGCTCACATCATGCCTCTGCTTCATCGTCGGCGCTTTAATAAGTCTCAGGCCCGACCCTCAGCGTTGCCCCTGATCCACTAAACCTGCGGACGCACGTCGGGTTAACCGCTTCCACCCAACGCAAACGGCAAACAGCCGCGGGCCGCGGGGGAGAAAAATGGACTGGACGGCGGACTCACCTGGGGCTGCACCGTGCTCGACAGGGAAAACATCTCCTCCGGGCCCTCAGCCACCTCACCCGCCTGCCGAAACTGCCCCACTGTCCACGGCCCGGCGGGGAGGCGCTGAGCCCTTTCTTCCTTTTCTTTCTCTTCCTCCCCTTACCCCCTACTCTTGCTAGAAACGGAAAATGGCCTCCCTTTCCTACAGCTGCTGCGACAGACAACCTGCCCCGGAAGACAAGCCTCTAAAGCAACAGTACTTCCGGGGCAGGTGAGTGCCACCTTCCGGGGACAGACGTCAGGGCTCCGCCCTTTTAGGGCCACTGCCCGCCCCCCACCCCCCCGAAGTAGTTGATGTTCACGTGGAATAATACACGCCCTGGCTCCCCAAAGCTCTCTGGCTGTAGGTTTCCTTTTCTTAAGGGGGACCGGCGTCCCCACTGTGAAACCTGACTTTCTACAGCTTCCTTGTCAAATCGTCCAACGCATTCGCTTCCGACTGGGCCTCGAGTTGTAAGGCCTTTCGCTATGGTTTAGTGCCATCGCCCCCACAATCAACCAGAAAATTCTTCCTGTTGGTTCTAATCTGTTTCAGTCAGGTACGTTACATCGTGTTAAAATGTCAGATTACAGGGCCAGCCAGCGCTTCCTGCTCATCCAGATTCTCCACATTCTGTGGCTTCACTGGCCATCGCTTTCCTGAACAGACCAAACTGGTTTACATTCCTCCCGGGGGTGAGAGGTCGCGAAGGAGTAATTTAAAAACAAAAAATAGTGGAAGCAGGGTGCCAGCAGCCACGATAGGAGGTCGGGAGAAAACTCAAATCCCGCCATGCAGATTCAAGTCCCCGTCGTTCCTTTTTCCGTCAGGCAGGAACTGTTTGCACCTCCCCGGTCGTGACAAACGAAGCAAGCGGGCCGCGGGCACTGCCCCCGAAGAGCCTGTGGCTGGCTAGACGATTGCCCAGCGCCCCGCCTCCACGCCCCATGCTTCTTTCCGCGTCAACTACAGGGGGTAGCGGGGCGGGGCTGCGCGGGGCTCCGCGCGGCGACGGCGTGACGTCACGGCCGGCGTGCGGCGTGGGCGGAGCCTAACTTTGAACCCGGTTGGCGGGACTGGTGGCTTGGAAAGGGACCTTGGCGCCGGCCGCGGGTTCGGTCCGGGCTGGCCTGCGATGGAGGCCGCTGCGGGCAGCGAGGAGGATGGTGGAGCAGGCGCGGCGACGGTGGAGTGCGTGTATAGGATCCCGCTGCCGAGACCTCCCTCCATTGAGGAATTCACGATAGTGAAGCCCATTAGCCGGGGCGCCTTCGGGAAGGTGTATCTGGGGCAGAAAGGCGACAAGTTGTATGCGGTGAAGGTAAGAGGTCAAGGAGTAAAGAAAGGCAAAGAGCCCGGCCCTTCAGCCCCCCTTCCTGCCCGCTGAATTGGGCAGGCCGCTGGAGCACCTAGGCGGTGGCCCGGCTTACTAAGGCCCCAGAGCCCCGCGAGCTGACTTCCCCTTGGGGTGACATCAGCCGGGCTCTCCGGAGTCCCGCCGCTGCCCCGCCCTTCTGCTCGCACCGCGAGTGCTTGAGAGACACCAGAACTTCTGAATCCTTTCTACTGACTTGGCCTTTACCACGATTAAGTTTGAAACTTTAAATTTGAAATAGCTATTTCCAAATTATATTTTAATTCTGTCAGTTTGATAATAGATTAGTTTCCTCTTTTATTGGGATAGAATGGACAATAACATGAGTTTCAGGTGTACAACATAATGATCACAGTAAGTCCAGTCAACATCCATCAGGACACAGTTACAAATATTTTTTGTTGTGGTGAGAACTTTTAAGATCTACTCTCTTAGCAACTTCCAAATATACAATGTGGTATTATTAACTGTAGTCACCACGCAATGATATAGATTAATTCCGGACCTACTATATAACCGAAAGATCTCATTAAACAAACCCCATTTTTTTCTCTTCAAACCTTTCATTATAAATCTAGAATGTACTTTTATTTAAAGACTAAGCTGAAAGATGTCCTAAATCACTCCTTTAGCCCTGGAGCAGTATATATCATTCCACAAGCATTCAAGAGCTTCCAATGTATTTGAAGCTGTTCTGGCCTCTCTTGCTTCTCATCCACTCGCATAGTTTCAGGTGACTCACATTCCAGCCCTGAGCGAACTTGATGAAGAAAAGAAACCAGTCTGAGTGCCGATGCAGTTTCACTTTCCTGAGGGACATTACTATGTGAATCTCTAGCAGGCACCTCAAAGTTGTACTTACCTAACTTTAAACGGTCCTTTCCACCTAACTGCCTAAACTCCGAACCTCCCGTGTTCCCTCTCTACATTTAATGACACCACCTTTGTCCTGGCCATTCAGGCTAGACACTTGAGTCATTTTAACTTTCCTCTGCTTCCTGTGTATATCCTCTCAACTAATCCTGTCAATTCTGTCTCATATTCATTCTTATTACCTCCTCCATTCTATTCCAAAATCTGCCCAAGTATGGGACTTTGTTTTTTCTCCCTTCCTTTCTCCCTTCCTTCCTTCCTTTCTTCTGTCCTTCCTTGCCTCCTTCCCTCCTTCCCCCTTCCCTCCCTCCCTCCCTTCCTTCTTTCTTTTACAGTTCAGTTTTTAGTAAATTAAAGATTGAGTGACCATCACCACAAGCCAGCCTTTCCATCACCGTGAGAAGACCTCTCCTGCCCATCTGCAGTGCCTCCTCCCTTAACACCTCTAGCCCCGAGTAACCACCAGTCTACTTTTTATCTCTAGGTTTTCCTTTTCTGGACATTGCATATAGATAGAATCATGCAATATGTGGTCTTTTGCATCTGGCTTTTTTCACTTGACATGATGTTTTTGACATTCATTATGCCTTCATTTCCATACCTAGTCTATTGGAATAGGCCCCTAAATGGAATCGCTACATATTTTTCCATCCATTCCTTAGACTGTGATATGCAAGCTAAAGTCCAAACTCCTTGGAAAAGCAGTCATTCTCCAAGGTCTGGTTCTAAACTTCCACTCTCTCTTCCACATGTCCTATGTTCTAGCCACTCCAGACAATTGGCTAATCCAATGCCACGTATTGTCTTGCTTCTGAGCTTATGTTTATGCTGGTTCCTCCTTAAGTGCTTTTCTTCTGCCCTTCTCTGCTCTTCTCCACCTATGCTGTTTATGTATTAAGGTTCATCTTAGCTCGCCTTCACACCTTCCCTGACCTTTCAGACCTACCCCACTGAAGTTAATTCTGCCTTGCTTCATATGTTCCCAAGATTTTTTGCTTTTCCTTCTACTTTACTTACTAATGTCATTATCAGTTGTTGAAATGAAAACACCAATTCATTTTTTCGATAAATATTTGTTGAGCATCCCCTTTGTGTGTAGGATCTCGAGTACACTGGTGAACAAAACAAACATGGCCTCATAAAGCTTTCAGTCTGGTGGAATACGGGTGACATCAGGCTCCAGACTGGCTTTGTCAATTTCCCTCGGTTTTCTTATGGAAAGGATGTAAGGCTAGAATTTACAGTGCATTAACGATTCTATTAAATACTCTAATGAATCTTTGGAAAAAATATGACTTTTTTTTTCTTGTAATCATCCTGAGAATTGATCTCAGTGTTACTGGCTATTTGGTTTAGTGCTCCAGTTTTGCTGTAGATTATATAGTTCTGCTTCCATACCGATTACCTTGAACCTTGAAAAGAGTAATTAGTTATTTAATAATAACTAATATTAGTTATATTTATATAACTAGTATTAGTATAATTAGTATAATTAGTATTAGTTATATAATATTAGTATTAGTATTTTCTATAGGACAGCATTTGAGACTGTTAAGTTTCAGTAGTTCTAACCATTCTTAAGATTTTTTTTTCCTAGGCAAACAAACTTTCTACAGCCTTCTCTTTCTGAATCTATTCCCATGCATCAAAGAATCAGAAGTGAAAAAAATTTACCAGCTGCTATTTCCCTGGGCTGACGTTGCTGATGATCTGGGGGCTGATTAGGAACATTACTATCTTTTGTCTTGGTTATAAGGACAGCAGAACAGAATTTTTTTTATACAAATATGTAGGGCAGTCAGGGAGCATTTGTTTACTTCTTTTTCCTTCTCAAAAGGGATGTGATACTTTTGCTGCTTGATACCAAGATAAGTAGTTCTATGTTGAAGAAAGTTTGTTTTTGTCTTCACCATATTAGCTGTTTTTCTGGCAGTTTCCTGATGGCAATGTGAAATCCAAATGACCTTTATGTTTCCTCTCTCTGGTTGTCTTCATGATGGCAACTTTGAAACCTGAGAACCTTTAGTAATAAAAAATGAAATGAATGTGTCATGTTATCACGTTCTGTGTTTCTACTACAGGTTGTCAAGAAAGCAGACATGATCAACAAAAACATGACTCATCAGGTGCAGGCGGAGAGGGATGCCCTGGCACTAAGCAAAAGTCCTTTCATTGTCCATTTGTACTATTCACTGCAGTCAGCAAACAATGTCTACTTGGTGAGTAAATAATTTCACATGTTTTTCTTCATTCAGCCATCGCTGAACCCAGTGGCTTAAGAATACAGTCTCTGGGTTCAGAGTACCTGGGTTTCAATTCCAGCTCTTGCACTTACTTGCTGTATGACCTTGGCCAAATTATCTTGCCTGTTTTATTAGTCAGGGTTCTCCAGAGAAAAATAACTAATAGGGTGTGTGTGTGTAGAGGGAGGGGGATTTATTTTAAGGAGTTGCCCTATATGATTGTGGGGGCTGGCAAGTCTGGACTTTGCAGGGTAGGCCAGCTGGCTGTCGACCCAGGAAAGAGTTGATGTTGCAGCTCAAGTCCAAAGGCAGAGTAGAGGCGGAAATCCCTCTTCTTGGTGGGGGAGGTGGTGAGGGCACAGAGGGCAACACCTCAATCTTTTTTCTTTTAAGGCCTTCAACTGATTGGATAAGACCCACCCACATTATGGAGGATAATCAGCTTTTAGCCAAAGTCTACTAATTTAAATGTTAATCTCATCTGAAAAATATCTTCATGCAACATTTAGATTGATGTTTCACCAAATATCTAGGTACCATTGCTTAGCCAAGTTGAGACAAAATTAACCATCACACCTCAGTTTCTTCATCTGCAAAATGGAGATAATATTACCTGTCTCAAAGGTTGTTACAAAATTTCAGTAGGTTAATATAAAGCATGTACAACAGTGTCTGGCACATAGTGCTAAAAATATTTGGTAAGTAAAGGACATATGATAGAAATATTATGTAAAGTTTGATGTATAATAAGGAAAGATATTAGAAAGTGGTGGATTTGGGGTGTGTGGACTTTGAGAGTTGCTTGATTTTCATTTAAAGCAGCAGCTTACACTCTTAATTCTAATGAGCAATTTGAGGGGGCCAGGAATAGGTGAGGATATTTTACCTGTAAATTCTAGAGAGTCTTCTGATTTCAGAGATGGTCTGTGGGTTAAATGTTTGTAACTCCAATAGCTTCTGTTTAGTATGTACAAAGGGTTTTCTGTGAATGAATCAGTCTTTAGGATGTTGATTTTAGACGTGAGATTTGTATGTTTATCAGCAGGAGCCTTACTCCTTTCATAATTTGACTACCTTCAGGAGGGCAACCCTTTATCCTCGATATGCTAAAGCTCTCTTGCAACTCTGGAACATAACTATGCCACTCTTCAACTTTTTGCTACACCAAAAGCTTGAAACTGAATAGACTTCTAATATGGAAGAATATGATATCCAGCTTCAAGCTAAAGACCTAAAAGTTCAGGATAGTTTATAAAAATAGAGTCTAGTCTAAGAGTGTTTTGGCACCTGATGGTGAAATCCATTTCTAGTCTTTCAGTAAATCTGTGAGTATTCTTAGACTGATGTTGAAAGTGGTTGCAAAGATTTAATGGGAAGGCCAGAAACCTTCAGAGAGTAAAAAGTTTCTTAAGGACAATAGTGACTACCTTTTTTGCATTAGGGCTAGTTTAGGATAAATATCAGTTTCTTACAAACCACAGTTGTTTAAAGGAATGCATGAAATGCGATCATATTGTAAATATTATTCTTCTACCTATTTTTTCCCACTTAGTGGTGACTTCATCCTTTTTAATGACTGCAGAGAATTACATAGATTTATTTATGAATTTTATAATTTCTCTAATGTAAACTCTTTTGATGAGTTGGTTTGGGGTGTTTTTAACTGCTTAGTTTTGTTACTGTTCTAAACTATACTCCAATGAAGACCTTAGCATGAATTGCAGTACCTTGTTGTAATGACCTTCTCTGTGGGAGATAAGACCTGGTAATGCTAGGGGGAAAGATGTTGGAGTAAAGATACAAATTTGTATCAGAGTGGATTTAAAGACAGCCCCTCAGGAGATCCCTAGGTTCTGAGCAAGCACAAGATAGGTTTCTACTTTTTAGGATGATTCACTGTCTGAGTGAGTCAAAAAAATATATATAGTATCAGTAAGAAGATAAAAACCAAATACTATAAGAATAACTGACTTTCCATCTCTTAAGCCAGTGATTGGCAAACTAGCCCATGAGCCACATCTGGCCCACTGTTTCTGTACAGCCTGTGAGCTCAGAATAGTTTTTGCAGTTTGAAAACATTGGACAAACCAAAAGAAGAATAATATTTTGCGATACATGAAAATTGTATGAAATTTGAATTTCAGTGAATAAATAAAGTTCTAGTGGAACACAGCCACATCCTTTTGTTTATATATTATCTATGGCTGCTCTTGAGCTACAGAAGAGTGAAGTCATTGCAACACAGATCATATGGCTCACGAAGCCTAAAATGTTTACTATCTGGCTCTTTACAGAAAAAAAAGGAAACATTCTTTTATCTCATTTCCAAAGAAGTGGGGGGACTGTTTAATCCTTCACTTCTTCCTGGCATCTCTAATGCCTTTACCACATACTGTTTCGTATGCAGGGTGTTGCCTTCCCCAGTGCCATGACTGGCTCTGGCATCAACCCTGGCTTAGCCTTGTGGCAGCGGGAGTTTCCCCAACCCTGGTCTAACAGTGGTGGTTGAAGGGCTGAGTCAAAATGCTCAACTTGGTAGTTTTTTTCAGTGCTTCTGTCCCAGAATTAGTGGAATAAGTAAACAGCTATAGTATTTTTGATTTCCTTTTCCTGAAATTGGGTAGGGGACCATATCTTATCTTCCAACTTCATCACTGGTCTACATCCTTGACACTCAAAGTGTAGTCCACAGCTAGGTAGTGTCAGCATCATCTGCGAGCTTATTAGAAATGCAGAATCTCAGACCCCACACCAAATCTGCTGAACCGGAATCAGAATTTTCATGAGATCCCAGGCACGTTAAAGTGTTAGAAGCACTGCTTTAGACAAAACAAATATTTCCTAGAAATAGGAAGCTAGTTTGAGGCAGAGAGAGAAGGTATGACTGAACACAGCCACAATAACAACAAATAATTGGCTACTATGTGCCAGGTACCATGCTAGGTACAAGGAGCATAAAGATGAAAATGTTTATTATGGAAACATTCAAACATACACGAAAATGGAAAGATTAATGTAATGAACCCCCATGTGTCTATCACCTAAGTTCAACAGTTACCAATATTTTGCCAAATTTGTTTCATCTATTTCCTACCCCCCCCGTCAACCTTTCATGTAATGGTTTTGGCATCCTTTAATTCATTGCCTGGATTCTTTTATTAAAGTTTGCAAAATGATGAGTTTTCAAATCCTGTTATTCCTTTAGCTTTTATTAACTAGAATTCTTCTATAAAGAACTTTCCCTTATCGTGTAATTCATCACTCTGAAATACAGCTTGGATGAGGAAGGCAGAATAAATAATGGTTGATTCTTTTCCTTTCATCACCAGTTTTCAGAAGAGCAACCTCCAAATAAGTGTGTTTTTTTAGTGTCTTTATGAATCCATGGAATTTTATAGGTTTGATGTGTTTTAACCCACTGCAGTCATTATTTTCTGTGTTTAAATTGTCCCATCTTTAGTGATTGGGAGCCCCTTCAGTTCATATCTTTGTCTTTTTCTACTATCCTAGTATTCTGATAGCTTTCTTGCTTTCTGGAATGACCAGATATTTAAGGCTCATTTTGTAAATGTACTAGGCATGGGCAAGGAGGTGTAGCTTCTCATTTTATTGGGAAATAGTGTTTAGAGACCACAATCTAGGTGGTAGTGATTAGTAAAGTTCATTGCTTTTAGCAGTGAACTTTAGGTTCAATGGGTTGTCATTCCTTTTAGTGGACAGACTAGGAAATACATATTTTTATAGAAAGTACGTGATTTATCATGAGTTCACACTGATGATAGAATTTTTACTTAATATCTTTGAAAAATGTATAAAATATAAAAATATTTTGAAAAAAAATTTGTATTTTTTTTAATGCTGGTGATTGGCCCTGAGCTAACATCTGTTGCCAATCTTCCTCTTTTTGCTTGAGGAAGATTGTCGCTGAGCTAACATCTGTACCAGTCTTCTATTTTTTGTGCGATGCCATGGCTTGACGAGCTGTGCTGGGTCCACGCCTGGCATCCGAACCTGTGAACCCCAGGCTGCTGAAATGGAGCACACAAACTTAACCACTATGCCACCGGGCCGGCCCCCATTTGTATTCTTTTACCCTGAGAATCTGGGTTCCTAAAAACATTAACATAACTACTTATTTGCTTTAACTTACAGCATATGTATATCTGATATTTTCAAAATAACAATACCAATATTGTTTTACTAACACTAAAATAACTGGATTCAATTTAGGATTTTTTTGCAGTTCTTTTTGTCCTTGGGATGTACTGTCAGGATTCTGTTTTTTGAAGTCACTTGAAATAATTCTCTGTGTGGTTATGAAACTTGATCTAGTGCTAGGTTTATTTGTTCCCCTTTAATATCAGAGATTTCTACATGAAAAAGGGAATTCATGCTAGTACCAGAAGAAAGCTTATGTGAATATTTTTATAATCATAGAATGGTGCAGGTCTTACTAAGTAGAAAATAAAGCCTATGTTGACACAAAATACTATATACATAGTCACATGACAAGTTTGGGGAAACAGTGTCCAGAAGACAGACAAAGGGCTAATTTTACTACTGTGTAAATCGATTTTACCAATCAGTAAGAAAGGATAAACACCCCAGTAGAAAAATGGGCAAAAAATAGAATAAGTTGTTCACAGAAGAAATATAAAAAACCAGAAACAGTGTAAAGATGCTAAATCTCCGTAAATGTAAGTAACGTAAGCATTTAAACAACTCCATTTTTTCTTCTTTAGTTTGGCAAAGATAAAAAAGATTGATAATCGTTGATGAGGATGTAAAGAAAATAAGTATTCTCATAAGCTCAAATACAGTATCTGTTTACTTATTTCCCTGCACTGGATTATAAACTCTTTAAGTACAGTGACTACATTTTATTCATGCTTATTTTCCCAGTGCTAGCACAGTATGAAGCACAGATTTTCTGTTTAGTAAATATTTAATGATTGACCTCATCAACAAATATTAACTAATCTCTATGTACCAGGGAAACTACTGACCTAAACAGGAAAGAAATGACCTTGTTAAGTTCTTAGGCAGTATTTCACTAAACGGTATTAAGACTATAGAAAATTTTGAGAATAATGACTAGCTTTGCAACCACATAGCAATAATGGATTCAGGCAAGAATCATGTATAGTCACATGATGCTAAAGTCATTGCTTGAAAGTTTATGGGACAGGTCATTTACATAGTTCCTTTTTTGTTTGTTTTTGTTTTTTATTTTTATTATTTATTTATTTTTACATGTTATAACACATTTTTAATTAAAAATAGCTATATTGTCCAAAAAATAGTGAGAATAATGTCATATTTTATATTTTTGTAAATATCTTGAATGTTCTGACTTAAGAGAAGACAGATTTTTTTTTTTTTTTTTTGAGGAAGTTGAGCCCTGAGCTAACATCTGCTGCCAAACCTTTTTTTGCTGAAGAAGACTGGCCCTAAGCTAACATCCGTGCCCATCTTCCTCTACTTTTGTTTTATTTAATTAATTTTTTAATTGAAGTAACATTGAGTTATAACATTATTTAGCTTTCAGATGTACATCGTAATATATTTCGAATTCTGTGTAGATTACATCATGTTCACCACCCAAAAACTAATTTTAGTCCATCCCCTCACATGTGAGCCTAATCACCCCTTTTGCCCTCCCCCCCTTTCCCCTTTGGTAACCACCAATCCAATCTCCATTGCTATGTGTTTGTCGTTGTTTTTATCTTTTACTTATGAGTGAGATCATACGTATTTGACTTTCTCCCTCTGACTAATTTCACTCAGCATAATACGCTCTAGGACCGTCCATGTCACAAATGGCCGGATTTCCTCATTTCTTATGGCTGAGTAGTATTACATTGTGTATAAATACCACATCTTCTTTATCCATTCGTCCCTTGATGGGCATCTAGGTTGCTTCCAAGTCTTGGCTATTGTGTATACTGCTACAATGAACATAGGAGTGCGTGTATCTTTATGCCTTTGTGTTTTCAAATTCTTTGGATAAATACCCAGCACTGGAATAGCTGGATCATATGGTAGATCTATTCTTAATTTTCTGAGGATACTCCATACTGCTTTCCATAGTGGCTGCACCAGTTTGCACTCCCACCAGCCGTGAACAAGGGTTCCCTTCTCTCCACATTCTCTCCAACACTTGCTGTTTCCTGTCTTTTAATTATAGCCATTCTGACTGGAGTGAGGTGATACCTCATTGTAGTTTTGATTTGCATTTCCCTGATAGCTAATGATGTTGAGCATTTTTTCATATGCCTGTTGGCCATCTGTATATCTTCTTTGGAGAAATCTCTGTTCAGATCTCTTTCCCATTTTTTAATTGGGTTGTTGGGTTTTTTTGTTGTTGTTCACATAGTTTCAAGGTATCTTCCCCCAGATTACTTATTAATTACAAATGGGAAAAAAAGCACTTCTTCAGTGAAGAAATCTGAAAGTCACCACCTTAACTAAGTGATCAGAGTTAGCATTACCAGTAATGGAACACACTGATGTTAGGTGTCTCATCTGGGGGAATCACTAAGAAGGACTCAACAGCACTTATGTAGTGTCCTGCCAAAAATTCATAACCTGAATTGAACCCTGAGGAAACAATCAGATGTCAAGACTGGGTCATGAAAGACTGCTCCCACTGCACCCCCTCCCCCCCAAAAAAGGCAAAATACTATTCCAGGTTGAAGAAGACTTAAGAGACGTGACAGCTAAATGCCGTGCATGATCCATGCGTGGGGAATGAGTAGGGATGCTATCAGGGACAATACTGAGATAATCAGAGAAATCGGAATGTGGACTGTACTTTAGATGGTAATGTGATATTTGCTTTAAAATCCTTGAGTTTTATTATGCTGTAGTTATGTAAGAATGTCCTTGTTAGGCGACACATGATGAAGAATTTAGTGATGATAGGTCGTGATCTCTCCAACTTTATTCTCAAATTACTCAGCAAAAATTTGAAAGTTATACAATACCAGTTACTAATGTTGGCCTATTTTTTAAATTACACTGTGTAGTCTGAACAGAAATGCATGTGTATAAGATATTTATATTAATGATTTTAATAACTGTGTTATGTTATGTAACAATTATGCTAACGATTAACAAATATTATTTATTTTTTGTTCATATTTGTGGAGAGGAAAGCAAATGTGGCAAAATGCTAACAATCGGTGAATCTACTGAAGATTATATGGGAAATCATTCCATTATTCTTACACTGTTTCTGTAAGTCTGCATGTTTGTTCAGACTAAGCAGTTTAATTTAAATTTAAAAAACTATATGGCAACATGAGCAAACCTGGTATTAATGTGTACTGAATGATACCAAGAAAACGTGCCTGTTACAGAACCATGCTAAAAATGTTTAACTGTAACGCTCAAATAGTGTATTTTTAAAGTAATCATATTAGTTTATTTTGCACCATTTGTATTTTTTGATAGGTAATGGAATATCTTATTGGTGGAGATGTCAAGTCTCTCCTACATATATATGGTTATTTTGATGAAGAGATGGCTGTGAAATATATTTCTGAAGTAGCATTGGCTCTAGACTATCTTCACAGACATAGAATCATCCACAGGTAAAGACTGACTTTTCTCAAAACTGTTACTTAAAAATATAAATAATCAAATTATGTATTAAATATTTGAGTCTTAAATATTTCCGTAACCACTTGCCCACATATCCAGGTTATCCAAAATTTAGTAGTAGCTTGTGTGAGTTTAGAAATTCCATCAGCTCTTCTTTTGTCTCCCTGTGTGTTTTGAATATATTGCTTTGACCATGGGTATACCATTTTATTGTGAAGAATATTGAATTTTTTTCCTACTCTTTTACCATCATACAAAAGTGCTGAATTGTATAATCCCAGCTGATTTACAACATTTTGCTCTGTGCAAAGAAAGTCAGGTTAAGGGGATCTTCTCTATTAAAGTCTTAATCTTACCCTACTTGTAAAAGGGAAATATGATTTGACCTGGCTTGAGATTTATTTTATGTAATGAGGTTTGTTTATTTTAATGGAATATCTAATAAATAATGTCAAAGATAATCTAGCATTAAACCAATTAACTTTCTTGTAAATTCTATATATAAAAGATGGTTTTCTCTTGAGAGTTGTTTTCTGCACTTCATAGCCACCAATGAGTGCCTTATTTTACAGAAAATAAATAGGATTTGATTCTTCTGTAACTTTCTGGGTTTTTTCCCTGGTAATTCTAACATCAACACTAGCTCTTTTTTGGTTATCAGCTATTTGTCTTTGTATGTGCAGGGATTTGAAACCAGACAATATGCTTATTTCCAATGAAGGTCATATTAAACTAACAGATTTTGGCCTTTCCAAAGTTACTTTGAATAGAGGTAAGAAAAATAACGGGTAAGTGCCTTTTTAAATATCCAACAAATTTTAGAGACTACATTTCATTAACTTATACCGGTTTTTTTGTTAGTTTATAATGAAGAAAATTTGATGATCCTGTGTTCCGAAATAGACTAGAAAGGTATAATGGTATTTTCTTTCCATTAAAGATGAAAAATGGGAATAATTATTCTTAAATCCTCAAAGATCCTTGAAGATCTTTGGATCTTCAAAGAACTCACAATTTCCATTCTTCTGGCTTTTTTTCCCTACTGAAACTTGTTCTGACCAATTAAACTCAGTAAAATAACTAAAATAACTATAATTTGATAAACAATTAATACCTAAAGCACTTATTCAAATGTACGTGACCACCACCAAGACCTTGATAAATAAGGGGCAAAGAAAATGTACACATACTTCACACATACATATATATAGAAGTATGTTAATTTCACTAGTAGTAATGAAAGAAATGCTAATTTAAAAAATAATATATGAATCATTTTTACACTACTAAGCTAGCCACAAAAAGAGAGAGAACAAAGATCTAGTATTGATGAGACTGCAAAAAGCATGGTCAGTTTTTCTGGGGACTCTGTAAATTAGCACAGTGCTTTCCAAACAAAATCTACCGATGTATTTAACAAACAAAAGGTTTTAATTCTCTTTGACTTAGTGACTTGTGTCTTGGAATTTATTCTAAAGGAATGGTTCAAAAGAACAAAATATATGAATAAAATTATTTGTAGCAGCATTGTTTCTAATAGGGAGAAATTAGAAATTAGTTGTGTTTGTCATAGAAACATGGGTAAATGATAGCTTAGTGACTTGGTAGCATATTGTATTATCTATTAAAATGGTAGAGGATGGAAATAAATGAACAGTAGAACCCAAAATTTGGCTTATAAGTTATAAACCATGGGATTATAATTATTTGAAAATGAATACAAGTTTCAGAAAGTTTTGAATACCTAAAGGTTTTTCATATGTTTGGTAAAATCTGACCTGAGCTGATGTGTGCTGTTTATAGTTTTTATTAATCCTACTTCACGTAACTACTCATACTTTCCACAGCTGTAATAATATTTGAGTACAGGTTGCTGGATGAGATGCTACTAGAGATGTTCCATACTATTTATCACATAACCTTTCTAAAATCTAAACTGTGGTTTTTTTGTTTTTGTGGGGTTTTTTTCTTTTTTGGTGAGGAAGATTGGCCCTGAGCTAACATCTGTTGCCACTCCTCTTCTTTTTGCTTGAGGAAGATTATCGCTGAGTTAACATCTGTGCCAATCTTCCTCTATTTTATGTGAGATGCTGCCGCAGCATGGTTTGATGAGTGGTGGTAGGTCTGCGCCTGGGATCCAAACCTACGAACCCAGGGCCACCAAAGCAGAGCATGCAAATTTAACCACTATGCCACCAGGCCAGACCCTAAAATTGAAACATTTTTTAATTGTGAGGCAAATCTATCTCCAGATAAGATATTGGAAAAAATCACAAATGAGAAACATTTTGTATTAGGGTGATATTATTGATGAATTTAAGTTATTTTTATAACAGTTTAATAGTTTTTATTTTTTTCATATCTCATGATTAAGTTTAGAGATGACTCTCAAAAATTGTACACTTAGGTTAATATAAATAATATTATGATAAACATCTTTGAGCATACAGCTCTTTCTGAATTTGGTTTCTTTCTTTCTTTCTTCTTTGATTCTGGTAAAAACTCATAACTTTCTATGAGTCATAAAAAACTCATAAAATTTACCTTCTTGAGCATTTTTAAGTGTACAGTTCACTAGTATTAACCACATTCACATTGCTGTGCAACAGGTCTCTAGAACTTTTTCACCATGTGCAACTGAATCTCTGTATCCCATCTTTCCCTCCCCCTAGCCCTGGCAACCACAATGCTACTTTCTGTGTCTGTGAGCTTGATTACTTTAGATACTTCATATAAGTAGAATCATACAATATTTGTCTTTCTGTGACTGACATATCCTTAGCATAATGTCCTCAAGATTCATCCATATTGTAGCATATGACAAGATTTCCTACTTTTTTAAGGCCAAATAATATTCTATTATGTATACATGCAACATTTTCTTTATCCATTCACCTGTCAATAGACATTTGGGTTGCTTATACTTCTTGGCTATTGTGAATGATGCTGCAATGAACATGAGTGTGTAAATCTCTCTAAGAAACCCTGCTTTCAATTCCACCTCGCAGTGGAATTGCTAGATCATACAGTAATTCTGTTTTTAATTTTTTGAGGAAACTTCCTTGTTTTTTCCGTAGTGGCTACACTATCTCACATTCCTACCAGCAATGCACGAGGGTTCCAATTTCTCTACATCCTTGCCAACACTTCTTATTTTCTGTTTTTTGATAGTGGCCATCCTAATGGATGTAAGGTAATATTTCATTGTAGTTTTGATTTGCATTTTTCTATTGATTACTAATATTGAGCATCTTTTCATAAGCATGTTGGTCATTTGTATATCTTCTTTGGAGAAATGTCTATCCAAGTCCTTTTTAATTAGATTATCTGGTTTTTGTTGTTGTTGAATTGTGGTTCTTTATATAGTCTGTATATTAACACCTTATCAGATAAACCACTTGCCAATATTTTCTCCCGTTCTGTAGGTCATCTTTTCATTCTGTTGATTGTTTCTTTTGATGTGCACAAGTTTTTAAGTTTGATATAGTCCCATTTGTCTATTTTTGCTTTTTGCCTGTGCTTTTGGAGTCAAATCCAAGGAATCATTGCCATAGTATTTTTTAACATTTAAATTGTAAAATATTCTCTAAGATGTTTACTGTATCCTATTGGTCCTTATTGCTTCATCAATGTGAGGTAGGTATAAATGAAATTTGTTACATTCAAACTTTCAGTCTGCCTTTAAAAGGTACTCTTATAAGGTGAAAGTCTTATACCACATACAAAGTACTACACTTCTCTTACCATTTTTGATATCTGACGACAATAGTATGATATTACTATTGTTGAATTATTTGACAATGTTATGCACTGAAACCTGATAAAAATCTGTGTCAGTTTCTATCTTGACCTACACTTGCACAAGTTAATTAACATGAGGGGCCTATAATTTGTATTAATTTCTTAAATAGATTCAGATATTGAAGTTTAATTTCTGTGCCTAATATCTTGATTCCTTTCTTAGTTTTTCTTACCACCTCCTTTTCTGATATTTGATTTGCCGAGAATTATCTTGTTGCCAGTCAGATAACAGTCTTGTTTAGTGACTGAGTACTCCATAAAAAGCTAAGACTTTGGGTCATTATACTGTGTTCTATTCATTCCAGAGCAAGACTCAGTTCTATCAAACTTTAATGATTTCAATCATTGCTTTTTTTTTATAGGGAAATTTTTTTTTAATTTTAACTTTTTTACTTTTTGACCCTTTTCACCCATTTCCCACTGTCCACCCTCACCTCTGGCAACCACCAATCTGTTCTTTGTATCTATGAGCTTGGCTTTGTTTTGCTTTGTTTTGTTTTTTAGAGTCCATATATGAGAGAGATCATACAGTATTTGTCATTCTCTGTCTGCTTGGTTGTATTTGTTTACTCTGTGGCATGGTAGCTTCCCTCGGTATATTCGTCTTACACAAGCTAATTTTGTAGATAATGTGGAAAGAGGGGCCAAGTTCAGAATAGATCATTATTGACTTAGTCAATGACTGTTGGAGTTTTTAAAGAATTTCATATACTTTTCTTTCGTACATAGATATCAATATGATGGATATCCTTACAACACCATCAATGGCTAAACCTAGACAAGATTATTCAAGAACCCCAGGACAAGTATTATCTCTCATCAGCTCTTTGGGATTTGTAAGTACTTGATGAGGAAAGACTCACATGACATGCCCTTTCATGACTGCCACTTAAAACTTAAAATTCTTTTCTTTTTCAATAAATGAACAAAATAAATTTACATGTCAAGCATGTTGAGTTACTTTAACAGTTTATCTACTCAGGTGGTATAGCACTCTGTGCACTTAGGTGGTATTTTTGTGAAGGTAAATCTTAGCGTTTGTGTTTGTCTTTCTCTTTTTAATAGTACACACCAGTTGCAGAAAAAAATCAAGACTCTGCAAATATTTTTTCAACCCATGTATCTGAAACATTGCAGCTTTCTCAAGGACTGACTTGTCCTATGTCGATAGATCAAAAGGACACTACTCCTTATTCTAGCAAACTATTAAAATCATGTGAGTATAAAAGAAAAGTTAGCTTATTCCATTAAGTGTGTCTCTTGAGGAACAAAATGTTTTTGAATTTTTAAATCTCTAATATCAAGTTAATAATTTTGAAATGCAGCTATTTGAACAGTCTATGGCGTTCCTATATTTCATCACGTGAGTGCCATTCTGACTGGAGTTGTTGCAGATCTTGAAGTCAACAGAATAAAATGCCTAACTAAGGAGACATTCTCCAATTAGCTATAATATTGGAATGATCATTGGGTAAATTTCACTATACTGGTAGTATATGTCAAAATACACTATATTTTTCTATGGAATTCTTATATAGAGAAGATGTAGTACCCATAATATTGTGTATCTTTATAAAATTACTTCCGAAAGATTTTCAAAGAAAATAGTTGAAGTAAAGATACGGTTTTTTAAATTAGCACACAATAAAAGACAGAAACGAAGTAGAGGAGGAGAGTGAGTGGAAGATTCGTGTAGTGCTTCACTTCACCCTTTATCAGTTAACAGCAGCGGACAAATTCGTTCTCTGCACTCAGGTTCTTCCTCTTGGGAATGTGAATAATGATGCTGTAAAGAATAATTGGTGTTAGTTTTCAGAGATGTTACCTCATTTTGAATTTGGTCCTCAAATCTATACATATTTAGGAGATATCTATCTATAGATAGATAGATAGATCCCTTTTACAAATGAGAAAACCAATATTTGAAAATGTTTAGTTAAACTATTAGTGGGTAAGTCAAGTAGAGATTGCAGATACAATGTCTATCCACTGACCCTTTCCTCCTAATTCAATGAGTCTTGTTTCTTCTGCCAAAATCACTTCTGTGAAAATCAAAATGACTGAAAAAATATATATAGGTGTGATAAAGAGAAAACTGTTAAAATATGGAATATGCAGATGTTATGTATAGCCTTATTGTATCACCTCGGTCATTTTTTAGTCTAGTCAGAACTAGATGGGTGCAGGGCACAGTGCTGGTCGCTTGAGTGAATATGAAAATGATTAAGAGAGGTTCTTGCCTCAGAAGAGCTTGTAATTTTGTGCTGATTACAGGTATGAAGGGAGAAGAACAAGAATCCTATAAAATAAATACCACAAAAGGGATACTATGATACAAAGTGATAAATGCTAAATGGGAAAATCAGGAATGGTTCTAAATAAAGATATGGCAACAGCCAAGCTGGGCCTAGAAAGAGAAGGAGGAATTTAACAGCTCCAAGTATATTGGAAAAGGGCGTTTCAGATAGAGGCATAAGCAAAGGCATGGACACATGAAAGTATATTCCATCTTCAGACGTAGGGACTAAACGTGTTATGTGAGGCTGGGAAGCACGTGCAATAGAAGAGGCAGCCTAGCAGGTAGATGGAGAAAGATCAAGTGTCATGACAGGGAGCTTGAATTTAAGTGTAGAGAAAGGGGAGCCATCAAAAGTCCAAAGTAGGGCATGGTCTGATCATATCAGTGATCCAGAAAGAACTCATTAGCAAATATACAGCATCACATGGCATTAGATTAGACACAAGTTCCCATATTACTGGGAAAAGGCAGCTGAGCAATTTAGTCAAGTGGCCAGTGAGTTTCAGGAATTCCATTGAGAGGATTTGTGTACCAAAAAGAAAGTTGGTTTAGGGCCAGCCCTAGTGGTCTAGTGATTAAGTTTGGCACACTCTGCTTTGGCTGCCCAGGTTCAGTTCCTGGGTACAGACCTACACCGCTCGTCTGCTAGTGGCCATGCTGTGACGGCAGCTCATGTACAAAAAAAGGAAGATTGGCAGTGGGTGTTAGCTCAGGGCAAATCTTCCTCAGCAAAAAAGAAAGAAAGAAAGTTGTTTTAGATGGACTTTGAAATTCCCCTTCCAGTTTTAAAGTTCTAAGATTTATTAAATTAAAAAACTGTAAGACTAAGAATTTACTTGGGATTAAAGTTATGTTCACCCTTTTTGGGAAAGAGAAAAAAATATACATATCTTTTTATATATGTACAAACTCTTTCTATGCACATATTATGATCTTTAGTAAAAGTATGATTGTTGTGTTTTAAGTTCAGGAGAAACAATATTTAGCATCATTTATTTTTATGATAAAGGAAAATGTATCATGTAGATGATGCTGCTTTCTTGTACTGACTGGCTCTTAGCCAGTTCACTCATTTGCTTTACTCAATAGTATTAAAAAAATCCCTTATGGGTGTGTATAATTCACACTTGTACGCATGTAAACCTCAATATTAAAATAAAGCTGTAGTTTTGATTAAATACAAATTGAACTCAGTAAATTTAGTCACATTCCAACCTTACATCACATCTGGATATAGCACATCAATAATGCTCCTTTATCAAGAAGAGTTTCAAATTGAATAAAAGATATTCAAAATGGATTTCCTCCTAATTATTAATTAGTTCCCTTGTCCTGGTTTTTGCTTTACAAATGTTGAGAGTTGTGGGTTTTTTTTAACTTTCACAGCAGTACTTGTATGCCAAAACAGCTGACGCCCTCCTTGTGGATTGGATAATGTTTACATAGGGAAAAAAACATACACAGAAATAGTTCTCAGATGCAATACTTAATACTTCGCCTAACTATCTGTAAAGATTCAGGTTCAGTGAGGAACTAAGAAAGATGTGACATAAGCCTCGATATTTTCTGCTGCCTACAGGCCTTGAAACAGTTGCCTCCAACCCCGGGATGCCTGTGAAGTGTCTGACTTCGAATCTCCTCCAGTCTAGGAAGAGGCTGGCCACGTCCAGTGCCAGCAGTCAGTCCCACACCTTCGCGTCCAGTGTGGAGTCTGAATGCCACAGCAGTCCCAGGTGGGAAAAGGATTGCCAGGTGAGAGTGAAAGTTTTCTTCATTAAAACCAATTACTATGTCAAATTAATGACAGAAACACTTTATACCTTTTCATATATATTCTGTAAGGAAATGAAACTGTTACACGAATGGCAGTCAAGATGTTCTTCATTTTCCTGTATATTCTGTCAAATTCTTTTGAAATATTTTATTTCTCATTCAAGAGTGAAATTATTCTTGCTTGATATATAATGAGATTCCAAATTTTTTAATTTTTGCAGTAAATTGATGGTAAACATTTGGCTTCTAGGCATCTAGATGGACATTTTTTTTAATTCCCTACCATGACACAGACATTAGCTTGTTGAGTGTTTTTTACCTATATCTTATTTTAAAATTTATACTACCTCCTTCTATACTGTTTTCTGCCAGTTTCTCATTTAATGAAATGGTAACTCTTCTGGGTCAGAAATAACTTTTAGACCTCAAAGGTAATGTAAATGTACCTTTAAAAGTATCTAGTCTAGGAAGATTGCTTGCTAAGTGAATGGGTTTACCTAAAATTATTTAATGTATATATTCTGTTTTTGCCTTTTAAAAAAGCTACAGAAGCTAATAAATATTAAAACTGAGAGGAACTAAAATTTTACATTATAGTAAACTTTCAGAGAATGCTGATAAAATAATGTTAGATTAGAATATGGTAATGCACAAAGAATAAACTTTCATTTTGATAAAATAGTTTGGATTGTATTTGCTCTTATTGTTAGTAATATGATTTTCTTCACCGTTGTTGGATATTTGTATTTTAGGAGTAAGGTCACATTATTGTTCAGTTCAGGCAGGGTTTCTCAGTCTTTTTCCTCTTCTCCTTGTAGGCTGCTCTATGGGCAATATATACTGCAGGATAAACCGGCATTGCACTCCTAGTCCTATTATTTCACTTTGATTTTCATCAAGAAAGCATATTGTATAATATTGCAAACTATACACAGCTTTACCGTCTCCCTCCCACTTCTGCACCCCTGAGGAATGCAGTGATTGGACTGTAGTAGTGCTTCTCAAGTATGATGAGAGGAGTGACGGTGGACCACAAGGGACCCCTGATAAACCTTATGCTAACTCCCAAAGGCACAGTTTTCTGTGCTTGCAGATCAGTGAGTTGTGACTTAGGAATTTTCTTTTTGTTCATGACTAAGCACCCCTTACTATTACTAAGTAAGTTGATAAAGTTTGATTTTTTCACATATCAAAAATAGTCACTATTAGCATTTACTGAAGATTCACTCTAATTGACTCATCTTGTAAAATTCCTGATTACCATGCACCAAGTTGTGATGTTATGTACAATGCTCTGATCACATGAGCACCTACAGATAGTTAGCATTCAAACAGTTTTCAAGAAAAGCATTTTGTTATCAATGCATCCTCAGTTCATCTTGTGGACAATGGATTTTAATTCTTGTTATTTTTGGTTTTTAATTATAAATTACCATTAGTTTAGCTTCATTCCTCATCAGTTTGGTTTTATTATACTTGTGTGAAGTGATAGACGATTACTTCAGCAATATTTTTGTTGTCTATAACTTTCCATTAACTATATTTCAAGCCTTGTGCATTTTGCAATTCAAAATAGAATTGTCCATACCCCTGTTGCATAGCAGATATCTACATATGTAGCATTACCCCCAGTTTTCCCTGAATATGTTGAATGTTATTTGTCTTATTTAAATAACATGTAATACACTATCAAATACGTATTATAGAATAGTTGATTTACATTTTAGACCAGTGTTTCACTCAATGTATATAAACATATACTATAATTGTTTATATTGCTTTTTGATTCTCTGTCATCATTGTTCTTTTGTTCCATTGGAAAGTGGGAATAGGGAGCATAGTAGTTTCTGGGCTCATTTATCCTACCTAAGTGGACAGAGGTTTAAAAGGTTAAAGGGTCTCAGCTTTGTATAACTAAAAAAAAAAGGTTTTTTTCCCCCCTCTTAGGAAAGTGACGAAGCACTGGGCTCTGCAATGATGAGCTGGAATACAATTGAAAAGCCCTTATGTACAAAGTCTACAAATGCCATCGAGACCAAAAGTTGCAATAACAAGGATCTTGAGTTAGCCCTTTCTCCCATTCATAACAGCGGGGTCATTCCTGCCACTGGAAGCTCTTGTGTAAACCTTGGTAAAAAATGCTTCTCTGGGGAAGTTTCTTGGGAAGCAAGAGAACTGGATATAAATAATATTAATATGGCCACTGACACAAGACGGTCTGGTTTACATCAGTCAAATCAGTGCGCTGTGGATTCTGGTGGTATGACTGAAGAGCACCTTGGGAAAAGAAGTTTTAAAAGAAATTTTGAGTTGGTTGACTCCAGTCCTTGTCAGGAAATTATACAGAATAAAAAAAGTTGTATAGAGTATAGGCATAGTAATGAAACGAGAGATTGTTGTACAAATCAAAGTACAGGCTTAACAGCTGAAGTCCAGGACCTTAAGCTGTCAGTAGATAGAAGTCAGCAAAATGACGGTGCTAATAAGGAGAACGTGGTCAGTTCTCTTACTGATAAACAACAAACACCAGAAACATCACCTATCCCGATGATAGCGAAAAACCTCATGTGTGAACTGGATGAAGATTGTGACAAGAATAACAAGAAAGACTACTTAAGTTCTAGTTTTCTATGTTCTGATGATGATAGAGCTTCTAAAAGTATTTGTATGGACTCTGATTCATCTTTTCCTGGACTTTCTATAATGGAAAGTCCATTAGAAAGGCAGTCCTTAGATCCAGATAAAAGCATCAAAAAATCCTTTTTGGAAGAATCAAATATTGAAGACCTGCTTACTGTATCACCCAGCTGCCAAGAAAATACCTTGCCCAAAGGCGATGAGAATCCTGCTGTCCAAGACCATAACCAGAACATGTTAGCTCCCTCTTTGGAGGTGTTGAAAACATCAACCTTCTCCAAAAGAAACGCTGTAGCTTTTCGAAGCTTTAACAGTCATATTAATGCATCCAATAACTCAGAACCATCCAAAATGAGCATTACTTCTTTAGATGCAATGGATATTTCGTGCGCTTATAGTGGTTCATATCCCATGGCTGTCACTCCCACTCAAAAAAGAATATCCCATATGCCGTATGAGGTATGTGATAATTTCTAACACTTTGTTCTTTAGATTTTGGAAAAATAAACTGTTAAGGCCAGAACTACTTGGTCTCTCAGCTAGACGATATGATATAAATCATATAGTTTTGTTCTGCTTGTCGGGAACCTGTGCATCGTTGGAGGTTTTAATGCAGGAAGGCAAAGCTGGTAGTAATGTTGATTATTCTGAACTCCAATACCTCCTTCATTGGTGTTGCTCTATATACTTCCACACATTTTCAATCATGTTTACATATTTACAGTCACATATTTTCACTTGATCATGGCAACCCTGTGAGATACAAAATTAAAGTCCATGCCACCTTCCTGCCTTCTAAGGACATATTTAGATGATCTCTTTTCTTTACCGAAAAAAGTTGAAAAATATATATTTCAAATCTTATTTTGTTTTTATTTTCCAAACCTTTATGAACTCAAAGTTTCATTTTTTTCTTTCTTTGGAGAGACACCCTAATATAGAAAGTGTAAACCCTTGATTTAGGGTTATACAAGACCTGGGTTCTCTATTCAGACGTCACTAAGTGACTCAGAAGGCGCTCAGCCTCCGAGCCTCTGTCCTGTCAGTCTGAAAAACATAAAGATACCCGTCCTGCTGGTCTCGCAGAGTCGTGTGAGACGAGAATATCTTAAACACTCGAATGCCAGTCGGCACAAGAGGTTATTTATATTTAGTTCTGTCTTAGGTATTGTCCCAATAGTTCAATCATTTGTCAGTGACAGCCTCCCTCAGTGACGGTTCTTGAGCTTGTATTAATCCATGCCATCAAGAAGTTTTTCTTGTGGATTTTTTCATTTTTTCTGGTATATCCAGATCTTACTGAAAGAATTGTTGTTATCTAAGCTATTGAATTTCACTGAATATCAGGACTTCTCATAGTTATCATTAGTTATGAGGCCATTTTCAAAACTGATCAAGAACTTCTGTATGTCTTTTATGCCCAGCAGCCTAGCTTTTGTTTTAGCATTTCTGTTCACTGTAAAAGGAATTAAGATACTTATTGTCTCTTAAACTCTTTGTAAATCAGCAGACCCCAAATCACATCAAGTCAGGAACTCCATTCCGAACTCCAAAGAGTGTGAGAAGAGGGGCAGCCCCAGTAGATGATGGGCGAATTCTTGGAACCCCAGACTACCTCGCACCTGAGCTGTTATTAGGCAGGGCCCACGGTAAGGCATACATGTCTGGAGTTTTTGAAGTGTTATCTATCACTACATTTTCTTCCGCGGTAAATTGTTTTAAATTTCTTTGGTACTTAGATTACCTAAAGTAAAAGAAATGAACTCATCCAATACTCTTTTCTCATCTATATGCATTTATTGTAGGAAAAGAAGACATGCAGCCATCTGTTCTTTGCCTTCTGGTTCATTCTCAGTGATCCAGACAAGCCCCACCTCCACCCCCTCTGTTATCTTTGTTCTGCCTCCTCAGGTCTGTTCTAGTTTGGGCTCAGGAATGCAAAGCTGGGCCTACACTTCTGTTCAGTCTGCAGAAGCCTAGTTCGGTTCAGAGCTTACCGTCACTTATTTCCTCACCAGAAGGGTCAGGCCAGAAACAAGCCTTCACAGTGCAACAGAGGAGTAAAAGGATGGCGTTTTCACCCGTCTCCTTTTTTTTTCCCTTTTGCTCTCTGAAGTGTTTTCCCTTCCTACATTCTGAAATGAACTGCATCAATTTGCTAGGGCTGCTGTAACAACGTACCACAAACTGGGTGGTTCAAAACAACGGAAATGTATTGCTGAGGTTTGGAAGCTGGACGTCTGAAATCAAGGTGTGGACAGGACCGTGCTCCCTCTGAAACCTGTAGGGGCACCGTTCCTTGCCTCTTCGCAGCTTCCAGTGGGATGCTGGCAGTCTGGTCTTGGCTTGCAGACACCTCACTCCGATCCTTCCTCTTCGTATAGTGTTCTCCCTGTGTCTCTGTGGTCACATGGCTGTGTGCTTATGAGGATACCAGTCATGTTGGACTAGGGGTCCTACCCTACTCCAGTATAACCTCATCTTAACCTAACTAATTACAACTGCAAGGACCCGACTTCCAAATGTCACATTCAAGAGACCTCAAGGGTTAGGACCTCACCGTATCTTTGTTCAGGGGGACATAATTCAGCCCATAACGTGAACCCCTTCTACATGTTGCTGTTAATGATTTCCCTTTTCTTTGGGCTCCTTTGATGATCATCTGTCTCCTCTTCCCCACCCTGCCACCCCCCACCCCCCCACACACCACACACACCTCCTTCTATTTTTATGTCTTTGCTGACTTTTCTCCTTGGCCTGAAAATAAGTTTCCACCCTTGTCTTCGCCTCACCACGTATTCTCAAAGGTTGCCTCTTTTCTTTGCCTGATTGTTTCTGCTCTGGCAATTGGATTGTTATCCCTACCATTTAACTGAAACTTTTTTATTAAATAACCAGTTATGTCATTATTGTCAAATCTACCAGCCTCTCCTCAGTCTCATTCCTCTTACCTCTATTGCTACCCCTCAGTTCTTTCCTTCTCTCTTCCAAAGATATGGAAGTTCTTCAAGATTCTGCCCTTTCCTCTTTTTTCCCTAGACCTGCTCCCTGTTAATCTTATCACTCCCATCCATGACTTCAGCCGTCACATCTATGTTGATGTTCCCCAAATACCCATCTCTAATCCTGACTTTCTCTAGGCAGCAGACACATGGCCAGAGTACCTGTTCAGTATTCTACTGGTCATTCAAATGCTGTGTGTTGTCCAGCTTGCTCTTCCTCTCCTCCCCATCTCAATTTCACCATCTTTGTAGTGACACAGACATTGTCCCTGCATTCAGGCATTTCACCGGTTAATTCTGTCTCTGCAGTATTCTCACCTTTTCACCTCTGCCACTATTCTGTGTAAGAACCTCATCTTTCCCTTTCATTAATAGCTTTCTTTCTGGTCTCCTCGACTTCATTCTGTTGTCTGTGATCATTGCCACCGGATTTTCCCTCTTAAAACATAACGTGACTCACACTGCTTCTCTCTTGGAAAGACTACAGTGGCTCCTTCCTACCTGCAACATAAAATCCACAGTTCTGGGCGTGGCATTTGTAGCTCGAAGCTCTCATTCTAGCCTCATCTCTCAAAGAATTTCTTTGTAGGCTTTATGTTCTTATTCCACTTCTTAGACACATTTAGTTTCAAGTTTTCCTTATTTTGCATAAGTATTTTGCCTTCGTTTAGAAAAGCCAGTTCCAGTCATCTTCCTGTCAAATTGCTTCTCATGTCATCACCACTTGAAATGTCATCTCTTCCATAAAGCATCCTGGGTCAGTTAAGGGGATTAGTTATTAACTCCAATATCACTTTATTAGAAACTGTTTAAAACTTATGTCATTCTACCTGTGTCATCATTAGTTATTATGTTTGTCTCCACTACAAAAGCTTAAGAAAATTTCTTAAGACTCGAGTCTGAGTTTCCCTTCTCCGTCGCACTCCGGGATAATTCCTTGGCAGCACTCACTAACCGTTGTCAATGATCTCTACAGTGTTGAAAGTGGACACACTTAATGTTCCCCTTCCTTATGAGCCGAAGCGGCTGACTTCCTCTGGGCACGTCACTGATTTGTGTACAGTGCCTGGCTCGCTAAGTCGCAGATTTGCTAGCCCATTTCCTAAGTTATAATTTACAATTTTACGAACTTAGGATACAGGGTGAAAGCTTCCAATTTAAAGACTGACTTTATGAGCTCCTGCCACTGTTGTAGCGGGGCATCTCGTTACTGCAGCCGTCTAGTGATATATCTTTAAATTTGTGTTTTCTATAAAAGTAATTGGATACATAGTTTTTAAAACAACAAATAGTACAAAGCAATTTATAATTTTTAAAAAGCCCCAACAATTCCCTGCTTTCTACCTCTTCCCCCGAATCCCAGGACCCAGGGGCAGTGACTTCAGCTCTTTGTTTCTTCCTGCATTGACCTCTCTGTTTCTAAACATCACGCTGTGGCACAGCTAAGACTCCTGGGGCCCGCTCCATGGTCTTCCCCCTCAGCAGAGGGACTTAGAAACTCTGGCCTGAGTTTCCCATAGCTTCTTGTGCATATTTTTGTTTCAGTTCTCTTAACATCGTGTTAAAATTATCTGTATTGTCTCTCCCAGCTAGGCTGTTTTCTCCTTGGACAAAGCTCTTTTTTTTTTTTTTGAGGAAGATTGGCCCTGAGCTAACATCTGTGCCCATCTTCCTCTATTTTCTCTCCTACCACAGCATGGCTTGACAAGTGGTGGGTAGGTCCACACCCGGGATCTGAACTGGCAAACCCCAGGCCACCGAAGCCGAGCACATAAACTTAACCGCTGTGCCACCGGGCTGGCCCTGCAAAGCCCTTTTTCTTATTAGTCTTTGTATCCCATATATCTGGCACAATACCTGGTATCTAGTTCAATGGATGAGATGAGGATGAACTCATAATTTTAATACAATGTACCTAACTACTGTTTTCTTACATGCAGGATTTCTGACTTCGGGTGAGTGAGTTTCTCTGTAAAGTAATATAGCAAAGCACATTAAACTGAACAGTCAAAGTATAATTAGATCACATCGCATTAAAAAATCTTTTTTCCTTTCAGCTCACTTAAGAAATACATGAATGAGCTGTCTCTGTCTTCTGAGCAGGAAGACATCCAGAGAAGTTGTTCTCTGTGAAAACGAATGTACGCTGGTGGCATTTTTAATAACTTTTAAAAGTAGCAGAGTGTGAAGATACAGCCATTTTTATTGCAACTGAGGAAAGAGGCTTGATAAAAATATTAAAAGCAGCAGCTACAGAAAGCTTGAATTTTCTAAACCATTTAATTCTATTATTATTAGAAACTAGAAAGGTATAACAGGACCAATTTATCTCTATAAATTACAGAAGGATGTTTTGAATTAGAAAGCCGGTAGTAGAAAACAAATTTGTCCTATTTCTCTGGCTAATAATATATGTTATAATTGCTGAGATTTATCACAATATGTGATCTTATTAGACTTTGACTCAACTATATGGCTATGTGTAACATATCCATGGGGAAATCCTGTACATTTTTGACATGAGTTCATTTTGGCTGAGCTGGGAAAAGGGTCCTAATTTCTAACCTAAGTAAAATAAATAAAAATGTATGTTTTTTTCCTGATTTCCCCCTACTTTTCTGTTACTTGGTTATATTGTCTAATTTGTTGGAATAAATCTTTCTCAGTGCTGCTTGAAAGTTCTACTAACTGAGGTGGTTGTACCTTTTTACAGTGATTACTGTAGAAATAGAAGCTTGTCGACTGCATCCTGTGCTCCTGGGGTGATGAGAAGGCCCTCTAATGCATGCGATTATTCCTCATGGCACATTCCACAGTGCTTTCCTACTTGTTTTAAAATGGAATGGTGGCAGTTGCTTAACCACAGTAATGAATTTTGTGAAATTGATTTTAACGAGTAATTTTCAGGCAAATTTAGTACAGACTAGAATTCCTCTTCTAAACGTATATCGCAGTTAACCATTTTTAGACTGAAATTAACCTTTGCTTAGGAAACACTTTATTCATAGACAGAACTAAACAAAACTATAAACCAGATTATAGGGTCATGTTTAAGATAATCGTTTAAAACATTTTTGTATATAAATGATGCTTCCAATAGAGATTTTATTTAGAAATCAGTTTGACCTATTTATTAAGACTTATCTCCACTTACCTCCTCAAGCCATAGTTTAAGTGAATATTTTTTGTTCATCTAATTTGTCCCTCTGTGTTCCTAAAAGGAATAAAGCCACATTAAAACCCTCTGTCAGGTTTCCCCCACTTACCAGGCTATCCTCGGTTAGTTTAAATGTTGCCACCTCATCTCTTATCTTTATGAGACGAGTGGGATACAGAATCATCTGAATGTTATTGTTGCCAGATTTGAAATTGAGAAGTATTGTATTTTAGAGAATAATCTTTAGATTAAATGCATTCCTTGATTGTGTTTTAGGATTTAGAACAAATAAGAATCCAGAATATCAGAGGTTATCAGTAAGAGACAAAAGATAGCTTTAACTTTTCTTTAACTAGCTGTGTTAATTGCTAAACTAAACTTCTTGGAAAACAGAGAAGAAAAGTAATTGCCACATTGTGTAAATGAAGGTAATTTGGGTTTTTACACCTCAAGAAACTACAAGGAAGCCTTGAATGCCTCGATTGTGCCCAAACACCCATGTACTAATGTTTTAGTTGATCAAGCATTTGCACAAAATGCCTGCAAGTTCAGCTACTTCCTCTTAAATTCCAGGTCCTGCAGTGGACTGGTGGGCCCTTGGAGTTTGCTTGTTTGAGTTTCTAACAGGAATTCCCCCCTTCAATGATGAAACACCGCAACAAGTATTTCAGAATATTCTGAAAAGAGGTGATTCTTTTTCTGCTAAGATAGTTCATTTATCTCTGCATATTATTATCTTGAGCAACGATTAACAAGCTTATCTGTATGTGTAGATATCCCTTGGCCTGAAGGTGAAGAAAAGTTATCTGATAATGCTCAAAGTGCAGTAGAAATACTTTTAACCATTGATGATACAAAGAGAGCTGGAATGAAAGGTAAGGTTTTGTGCTAATAAATTCTTTACTCTTGGTTTGTTTCAGGTGGTGCATGTTAATAATGATATCAAGTTCTTGTACAATACTACAGATGATCTGACTGCTAAATTGGTTTAAAAAAATTTATTTCTGCTCTCTGGTTTTGCATTGATGTATTTGTCCTTATTCCACATTAAAATTTAATGTGGTCAGTTTGCTATATTCACTCACTGAATTTTATTATTCACTCACTGAATTCTATTAATCTCAAGCCGATACCTGAAACAATCTTATCTTGTCAGTGTCTTACATTTTTCAAAGCCTAATAAAGTTAACCATCAACGTACCGGAAAAGTTTTTTATCAAAATTTTCTATTCTGTAATTTCTTCTGCTTCATTTCTGAAACCATTATTGAGAAATGTATCAGGTGCTGGGTTGCCTCAAATAAGACAAATTTGGTACATTGTGACCCATTCGGTGATTTTTTTTTTTCCAGAGCAAGGGATATGTTAATCTCCAGTTTTGAGTCTAGTAAATCTCATTAGCAGCTGCCTTAAAATCTTTTTCGTAACAAGGTATATAAAGAGACAAATGGAGCAGACCCCACAGCCTAGTGGTTAAGTTCAGAATGCTCTGCTTCGGTGGCCCAGGTTCAGTTCCCCAGGCACAGACCTGTACCACTCATCAGTGGCCATGCTGTGGCAGCGACCCACATATAAAATAGAGGAAGATTGGCATAGATGTTAGCTCAGGGTGAATCTTCCTCAGCAAAAAAAAAGAGAGAGAGGGAGAGAAATAAGCATTATGTCCTAAAATGCATTTCCATGTGAAGTAGGGTATAGTTAGAAAAATGAGCTTTAGTAATGTGTCATTTGCATCAGCTTCTAGGTATTCTCTCTAGTAAGATCAACAGTTTATGTATTTATTTAACAGATCCTATAGAGTGACTTCTAGGTGCCAGGCAGTGTTGCTGCGGGCACTGGAGGAACGTGCAGGACGAACCAGGCTGACATCCCTATGCTGGTAGAACTTAGGTTCTAGTGGAAAGACAGAAAGTAAGCGAATACAGCCCTAACACAGTGCCCTCTAGCGGTGAGCATTATGAAACAACGATACAGCAGGGTGAGCCATACAAGTGATGGCAGGAGATTTTCTTTTCATAGAGCAGGAAGGACTCTGTGAATAGTGGAATTTGAGCAAAGACCTGTGTAAAGCGAGTGCACAGACATTTGAAAACTCAGCTCTAAAATTTACTTGGGGGCCAGCCCAGTGGCATAGCAGTTAAGTTCGTGCACTCTGCTTTGGCAGCCTGGGCTTCACCAGTTTGGATCCCAGGGGTGGACCTAGCCACGCTCGTCAGGCCAAGCTGTGGAGGCATCCCATATAAAATAGAGGAAAACTGGCACAGATGTTAGCTCAGTGACAATCTTCCTCAAATCAAAAGAGGAAGATTGGCAATGGATGTTAGCTCAGGGCCAATCTTCCTCACAAAAATAAAATAAAATAAAATAATTACTTAGGGCAGCAGATCTCAACAAGGGTAATTTTGCTCCCCAAAGGACATTTGGCCTTGTCTAGAGACATCTCTCGTTGTCACAGCTGTGGGGGCATCTAGTAGAGGCCAGGGATTCTGCTCAACATCCTACACTGCACAGGACAGTCCCCACAACAAAGTATTATCCAGTCCCAAATGTCAATTGTGCTCAAGTTGAGAAACTGTTGTTTAGAAAATGGCTATAATGTACTGTAATTTGCTCAAAATAAGTGGAGACAGAAGAAAAGCATTCTTACCAGTGACTTCAGATTTCTGTTCTTTTGTTTAATGAACAGTTTACATAGTGAACTAGATGATCGGGCTATTCTTCAGTTAAAAAACAGTTGCTTCAACAGCTGTTTGTTTAGTTAATCTTAACCTAGGTCAGAATTCCTTTGTGGATTCAGTGTAAATAAATAGTTATGATGAGAGGGTCATAAAGCACCACATCACATCCAGATATCCCAGTTTAAGAGTTACTGCTACAGGTAACTAAAGCAATCCATGCTCAGCTAATTATTTTGAACAATTGAGAGACAAATTCTCTAAATGTGAATTATTTTTGCTATTTTATCCCTCTTCCTCCCAGTCTTTTAGTTTAGGGAAAGCTACTTGTAGACACATTAATTTCCTAACACATCACGCCCAATACAGACACATGATTCTTTCCTGTCTGTGTCCTCTTCTCCCAATATTTTCCTTAAATTTGAATGGGCTTTTTTAACTGTTTACTACCTTAATTGTCACTTCATTTTTGCCAACATCTTTATTGTTGCCTTATAAAGTAAATAGTTGAGAGGGGAGGTTATGCCTAGCAACCAAATAGCAGAGTGTGGTCAAAAGAGCATATTTTCATTTTAGTAGGTAGAAGAAATAGGAAAGATGACAGGTACTGAAAATGTAGTTAAAAAGCTGAGCAAAGTTGAGATTTTGTGGGAGCAGTAAGTGGAGGTGGAAGCAGTCAAGATTCAGGATGTGGCTGTAGTGCTAGATGGTTGCGTGTGGAGATGCAAGTCAGTGAAACTAAAGAAGTCAAAGAACCAGGAAGAGAATGTGTCATCCATGTATATTTTGAAATCACCATGAAGCGTAAGGATGAAGCACAGGGAAGGAAGAACAGGAGCAGAGGATGAGCTTCTTGCCAAAGATATCCAGGGCAATAGACAGTGCTAAGGACTGCAGAGACATAAACAGGTGGCGAGGACTTGGAATGAGAAATGGGGCGGAAGATCAGTGGTGCGGAAGCTGCACAGGGTAGCAGCACGTAGGCCAGCCTCTCATCTCTCACTGAGTCAGGGATTATGTGATAAGATGCAGGCTGTAAGAAAGACAGGCTTCTGTTAAGGCAAATCATTCACTCATTTGACAAATACAGACCAGGCATCTGTCATATGTCAAGTGATAAACAGATTGACACAGGGTGTGGCGTCGTGAAGTACGTGGTTGAATAGAGAGACAAACATTAAACAAAAGTCCATGAAATTGGCATAATAAAGTAGGGCAAGATGTACGTGACACATTCTCTTCATAATTCCTGTAAAACAGTGCTTACTTAGGTAATGGTGTCATAATATTCTGTCTGTGTGATATTTTTCCTAAGAGCTGAAACATCATCCTCTCTTCAGCGATGTGGACTGGGAAAATCTCCAGCATCAAACGATGCCTTTCATACCTCAACCAGATGATGAAACAGATACATCTTATTTTGAAGCCAGAAATAATGCTCAGCACCTGACGGTCTCTGGATTTAGTCTATAGCACATACATTTTCTCTTTAACCTTGTCTTATGGAATAAGATAGCGTAATTATGTACTCCTAAATGCCAGATTGATCTAAGGGGAAAAAAATCATTATTTTACCTGGATCAATGAGCTTTTAATGTATGTTACAGCTTCCACAGAGTTAAAAGGCTGACAAGAATATACTCAGTAACTTTTCTTAATCTCAGAGTTGTATATAGATCCTCAACGCTTTTTTCATCCTATTTATTTTGTTACTGCACTTTATGAAAATTAATGCATCAATAAAACTAAAAGACACTAACACTCTAGAGAAAGAGTGAGCCTCGAGCTTGATTTTCCTTCTCATCTCTTATTTCCGTCCACCATTCAGTTTGGTATTAAAATATCACAAACATCATATAGTTTTATTTTAATGTAATGTTTTGTACATGACTGCCTGCAAAAGCTGTGGTCTCAAGGGCAATCATTCAAGCCTGCAATTGTGACTCCAAAAATGCAGCTGGAAAATTCCTTGACTCAGTAGTGTGACTCCTTTGGACAATGAGGAATAAACAAAAGGACTGAGGTTTAGCTTACTTCACTGTGAATACAGTTTTGCTGCCTTGACTGCTTTGGTGCTTTCTCTACAATATATGTTTGTTTAAAATAGTACTGGAAAGCTTAGGGGTGCTTGATACCCTGCAGCAATTTTAACAACTTGTTCAACCTTAATAAAACACGTGATGGTTTACGTCTTAAAATAATTTAAAACGTATGCAGCATTATCAGCAGCAGCCTGATCCTTAAAAAAGAACAAAAAATAATTTGCTTAATAAATGTAATTGTAACATACTTCAATACATCAATATCATTCTTTTAAATATATATATATATATGCACTAAGATTCAGCTTCACAAGTCATATCTTAAATTCATTGAGGCTTTCAGCATTCTTACCCCCCAAAAGAGCAAAGTTCAAATTTAAACATACCATATATAAATTTTCTGCTAATCTATTAAACACTGTTGTTCCTTTTGCACACTGGCTTTAGTGTTTTTACTTTGCATTACTAGCCCAGTAAGAGCCCTGTTATTAATGTAGTTGATAAAGATAATATGAGTTTAAAACTGTTACCATGAAAGACCATTATAACCAGAGCTCTATAACTGAATCCATGGTTTAATGGTTTTCCTGAGTTTGTCTTAGTATTGACTACTTAGATTTAATGCTCCTAATAGTCACCTCTTCTAGTAAAATGTTCGAAATACAGTTGTTCGAACTTTTTCAATATAAATTACATCCTTCCCTTAAATTAGGGAAAAGCACAGGAATATCGATCACCCTTTTATGGTTTTTTCAAGTAATGGAAAGAACAGTGGGCTTTGGAATCGAGTACAAATGGTTAAAGCCCTTGTTCTGCCACATTAAAAGACCCTGGGCAGCTTAACCTCTACGCTGCTGATTGTCCACCTGTACAGTGCAGGTTAATAATAAGGAACAAGCCAGTTCCTTAATGGGACTGCCAGTATAGAATAAAGAAAAGAATACTCAAAAAAATTTCAAGAGTTCTCAAGAATATGATAGTAGAAATGAAAACTAAATACAAAGATTCAAAGTTGAAGAAATTTCCCACAAAGCAGAATAAAAAGACAAAGATGGAAAACAGGAGAGAAAAGATCAATTTCAAGGATATGTTCGGGTGGTTCAATATCCAAATAACAGGAGCTCCAGACAGAAGGAAAGGAGAAATGGAAAAGAAATTA